CGGTACTGTGCCTGCAGTGATCATCCGTCATGGATAACCCTTTCCCACAGATGCCATAATTTTTCGCAACTTATGCTTTTCGCAACCGTGCCAAAACAAGTGCAAGTTGCTGAAATGTATGTTGTTGTATTCTTTTATTTCAATTCGCTCAGGGCACAGGCAATACTGCCTTCTCACCGGAGAGAGGATTCTCCGATTCCTACCAAAAACGAAAAATCTGCGATATGAATATGTATGAGAAAGATATGAGAAAAATGAATAATGATGATGTCGGATTACGATAGTTTAGTTGTTATGCAAGATTTCCCTGACGATTACAGATAACACACAGGACCCAGCTAAGGAGCATCATTGACATGCGATACCCTAACGAATTAGCAATGACACTCTGTATAAGCGCTGCGGAGCTGTCCCCATCAGCGAGAAGATCACAAGGCAGCGCTACAGTCTCGCTGGCCATATCTTTCGTTTGGCCCCAACTGCTCCTCCACAGTTGGCAGTGGATATGTATCTTCGCTTGGCCAACGACGAGGGCACTGAACGCTTCAGGGGTCGACCTCGGACGACTTTGGTAACGGTCTTGCAGACGGAACTGTCATCATGGCATGGACTTACCCTCCACCAGCCGCTAGATGCTGACGCAGTCCGCACAATGGCAGCGGACCGACAGGCATGGCGTGGAGCCCGCCCCACCTAACAGGACTGATTCTCGTGATCCACGTGATTCCGCCAGACATGTTGTATGCATATTCTTTGGATGAAGTAATTAGTTTTCCATTTGTCCTATTGGTATTGTTGCTAACGGCTTTTGTTGACGTCACTTCTGCCATTTCATTGTATCGTATTACTCTTCAGACATCAATCCTGAATGGCATAAGCGAAAGTGGCACCCCCGCCACCTACGCGGACATGCTTTTAATAATAATAATTACAGATAAAGCGTTTCTGGAGACAAATGTCCAGAAAGGATGCGAGAACAAAAAATATAGCGTTCCGGAAGGCAATGGTGCACATAAATAGAGCATACGGCAATGGTGCAGAAAAGAGGTGAGAACTTACAAACAAGGCAATCGTGCAGAAAAAGAGGGAACTGAAGAACTAGCGGTTCTAGAGGATAAGACACAAAGAGGTAGGGACCAGCGATTCAATACAGTGTCAGATGGTGCTCTTGAATTCATCCTTTCGTGATGCACATCTAACTTCAGCCGGCAGCTTATTCCAGAGAATGGCACCTTGGAAACCAGAAGGGAAGGGGACACGTAAGAGCCATGTTACCTGTCCGCGAGTGGCCCTTCGGTCATGATCTTCTTGAGAAGGTGTGGTTGGGGTGAAGAAAGACGAGAACAAGTGACTTGACAGAGAGTGCAGGCAACGGAATACAAACATGAGGAGCTTTCGCTGAAACAATCTCTCAATGGTGGACAATGAGAGTCTCTCTCGTAGCGGCTGAGTCGCGATCGGGTTCTGCAGTCGTAGGATTGCTCGAACCCCGGACTTCGCCGATCTTTCGAGCCGAATGAGACCAGCGGCAGACAGCGAGGGGAAGAAGGCGTTTGCGGCGTAGCACAGCTTGGCTCGTATCATGGCAACATACCATATCCGGCGGGCCGTGATGCTAAGTGCATCCCCATGTCGCCATAGACGACTTACGGCCTTCCCTGTCTGGCTAGCAAGGTGTTGGATGTGGGACCGCCAGCTCAGGTCGTCGAGGAAAATGACACCAATGTATTTTGCGGATGACACTAAGGGCGGTACCTGGGCGTAATGGTAGATGGGCAGCTCTCCTGGGAGCCTCACGTCAATCACACAATCCAGCAGGTGCGGAAGTCAGTAGGTGCGCTGTGGCGGAGCCGCCGAAGCCTCACCCTGGCGTCAAAGATCCTGTTTTACAGGTCGATGATCCAGGGTAGGTTGTCGTACGCTTCCAACGCCTTTTATCCGTCACTTCAAATTGGCAACATGGAGCCCCTCACACGTCTAACGAAGTGCGCTATCCGCGGCTTCTTCGGTCTGCCACCGTGGTCGCGCACGAGCCCGATCTTTGAACAGCTCCGCCTCACCACCCTGGAGGACATGTTTAACATTAAGCTCCTCATCTTTGTCCGTCGTTGTCTGTTCTCCCGAGCTAGCTCCCTCTTCACCAGCTTCTTCGTGAGAGTTACTGGTGACCGCACTCGGGGAGCAGCACATCACCTCGTTCGAGTACCATTTTGGCCCGGTCCTGCGGGTCGAGCGACCATGCAGTTCATCGGCGCAGTCCTGTGGAACCAGCTCCCGCCTGATCTCCGTTCCGAGCCCAGCCACCTTCAGTTCTGTGCCCTGCTAAAAGCGCATCATGGCTCCGTTTAAATGCTTTTCGGCTAGTGTGTTTCTGTGGTATAGCGGACTGAAGAATAGTAAACGTGTTTTGCAATATATGTATGAAGCTATTTTGTATATAGTATGTTCCCATTCCGTTTTTGCTTTGGTGTAGCCCTGAGGTTGATTGCTTATTTATTTCTACCCTTCCTCTCTCCATACTTCTGCCCCCCCCCCTCTCTCTCATTCCTTCTGTCGTCCACATGTATCAAAGGAGGCGAAATCGCCTGTTTGTGGTGCGACGTTAAATAAACTTCTACAACAACACTGTGGCAAGCTTATCTCCATTGCAGCAGACGCGATCGACTGGATCTTGTTGCCCTCGAGGCTTCAAAAACATTACTTGGGTCTTCTTCTTGTTCAGAAGAAGACCAATGTCTCCAAGCCATTCCGCTAGCGCGGTTACTGCGTTCGAGAGGAACTGCACAACAAGTGCTACATTATTATTATTATTATACGCATTCCCGCGGCAGCGTCAACCAAGCAGTTATGCTTGATCCACACGTTCGCTTATGCTGGACATTGAAACAAAGCAGATGTAGACAGCTCCTAGAGAATGGGGCTCTACAAAACCAATGATCGAAGTTAGTCCTTCAGTAACAAGTGCTACATTTGCGTGTGAAAATTCTATTACGATGTCGTCAGCAAACTCTTGATGGGCGATAGCGGCTGGTAGGATGTCGCTAATGGCTCTAGTATATAACACAAATAGGAGGGGGCCAAGGACACTCTATTGCGGCACGCCTCGGCTGCAAGCTGTTTCGGGTGATAACTCGGCTCCAACCTTTATCCGGTGATGCCGACCTGACAGGTAGCTCACGAGCCACTCCAGAACCTTGCCGTGAAAACCCAGTGAGTGTAGGTCTATGACGCATCCATATTTTCAGAAAAAGCTCAAAAGTTGCTAATATCGCAACTTAATTTAAAATTGGAGAGTTCTTGTGCAAAAAAACACCAAAAAAGGAGATGAAATAGCAGAAATGCAGCGACAGCAAACTCGTACACCCCTTCCTGCTGTGAACCACCACTTTACACAGTGCCAGTAGCCTGCTGCACATATCCTACATCATTCCAGAGCACGGAAAAGGGAAGGCACATTACCGTAACCACCGTTGATCTGCTGTTTCTCTGAAATGAGTCTGAAGGCAGGCGATAAATGAGCGATTATGCAATTTGTCCGACATGTAGTCCGTGACTTGGCCTTTTGGCCCCATGCCATGGGGCCAAGGTTGCGGAAAAGTTGCGAAATAGTTCGCGAAAGTTGCGATTTCTTCCTAAACAACGAAAAGTTGGGAAAAAAGGGGCGAGCATCTTTGGGAAAGGGCTAGTCAAGGGCACATCGCTACATCAGCCTTGAATCCTGGGTATACTAGCACTGGTAAACATGTACCGGTACATGTACATGACTGTACATGACATTGTAGTTACATGTAGTTCGAACGACGTACTGACAGTACACTGACCATGCTGACTGTAGTAGGAAAGAGGAACCCGGAAGCTGTGAGTGTGAGTGTGACCAAACACTGACCGTGACGTCGACCTGGTCAGTGGCCATGGGTATGGTGCCATTCCTATCCCGGATTATCACTCTCTTTTTAGTATTGACTCCCATTGATTTTCGCTGTACCTATAAGCAGTCAAATATTCCTGCATATTTCACTCCTTATAGGGCTATATTGACTGCTTATATTTGACTGTAGGGGTTGCGCAGTTGAACGTGCCTAGTGCAGCATGGTCACTGCATGAGTAGGTGATTGTGCAACAGTTGTGCAATCATAACACCAGGATTCATGAGGTTTACCGTTATCGTTCCGGAAATTGAAATACGGACTGTTTGTCGTGATAAATCTAATATTGACTTCGTGCTTGGTCAGTATAGGAAATAAAAATCTCGTAAAGGACGTCACCTGGCATAGTGGTGGCCTGCGGAAACGAAGGCTATACCTTGTGTGTTTCTGAACATTCAAGTGATGCTAACGCGTAGATCTACGCGGATCTCGCGAATATTATAAAAGGCCTCTACATACACCACATGTAGTTGCACATTTTGTACACTGTTCCGAATGAGGTGAGAGGTAGCCGCCGTACCTCTAACGATACATGTACGTTCGTGCTTCGTTTGGTTGATCTAGCCGTTGCTGCAGCGTCCGCTGCTGCTGTTGACTGTGACTCGTCAGGGTAGTGCTCATCTTCATCATTGAAATCCTTCTATTCCTGATAGTGGATCTCGTCGGGAAGAAGTGGGTGGAGATTTTCTTCACGAGAACTAAGTGATCTGACGGCATTCCAACCAGTGACACTGAAAGTGTAACACAATGCCAATGTCAATGGGCAGTTTACGGTGTAGTAGATCACGCTCATCTGACTGGCTAGGCTGGTAACACCGGTAGTCTTGTCAAAATGTGACCTTACCTGCCTGGGCTGCGCGTGATCATGGTGACTGATAGGCTGGATAAGTGATAGCGCAGGCATGGCTCTGCAGACTGCATACAGACTGTACAGGTGCACCATGTACCAGTGCACGGACGGTCGACCGGTCACAAGCTACACTTTTTCTTCAGCAGTTCAGGCTGGCTTGTCAGGGTCACATGCATGGATGGTTCATAATCATTGATAATAATCTTGTTTATTCTTGAAGCACCTGTAAACTGTACTGCACGCCGGAGTTCAGAGCGAATGAAAAGTCTTCCTTTGGAAAGACGTCGTTCAAGTCAGCTGGCCAGAGCCTGTTGCCTCGTGTCTTTTTTGGATGACTGCGATCGAGTGTTCGGAGGTGGAATTGGACGTTGCGTTCAGTCACGATGTCAAGCCCACTGTCAACATCCACTGAGTCCGGGCGGTATGACGGTAACTGATTAGCGCTGTTGTGGACGACTGGCACCAGAGGACACATTCGTCGCCGCACGCTGCACTCCAAACCTGCATGCAACAGGGTGTAAGTGGCTGCTGCTGCCGGCACGCGGTGCTGGTGCTGTTGCTGCTGGTGCTGCTGCTGCTGGTGCTGCTGCTGCTGGTGCTGCTGCTGCTGCTGCTGTTGCTGCTGGTGCTGTTGCTGCTGGTGCTGTTGCTGCTGGTGCTGCTGCTGCTGGTGCTGCTGGTGCTGCTGGTGCTGCTGCTGCTGGTGCTGCTGCTGCTGGTGCGAAACGCATTCGATGCCCAACTGAGCCCCCGTTGAATCGATCCGATAAAGAACGACTGTTCAGCCTCGGAAGAATATCAAAATGCGTGGTGTTGCGCTTATTGAAATGTGCTGTTGTCGAACGAAATGAAGCAGACTCGAGGCTTCAGTTTACTGACCAAGGAAGTACATGTAGTGCAAAACTGATTTGGCCAGTTTCGGTATTTAATTCTTCAGTAAAAAATCCTGCTTGGAATGTGGATTTGCAGAGACCCGACACTCACGTGCAGCGTGACAGCTTGAAGTTACTGTAGATCTACACTACAGAAGCAGTCCATTCACTATAATTATAGTATAAAGTATAAGTGTGCACTGTTGTTACATGCTCCCATCATACGACTATGAACAAATTCAAGGCAATTTTTTTCTAAGTAAATGCACGCTTGCTTGCGGCTCCTTTAAAAAAAACCGGATCAAAATCTGTCCAAATTTGAGAGAGAAAATGGAAATTGATTTTTTTAGCTCGCTTTGCTGGCTGATTTCCGTGCATTTGCATGCGCCGCTGCTTTGTCTTTGAAGAAGTCATGCACCTTATTGATCATCTCAACGCATCCACGTGGGGTATTCCCCTGTCAGGCTGGCGCTGGCCTACATGTAGAATCCATGGGGCATACACAATGGCCCTTTGACTGGATGGAAAAGAGTGCACACTTATATGGGCCCTTTGACTGGATGGAAAAGAGTGCACAGTTATAGTGAATTGACTGTAAGCGTACACTGTAGTGTAGAGTGTAGTCGTGACAGCGTACATGTACAGTCAACTTCGCTAATAACGACTGCGGATATAACGACAATTCGCGAATAACGACAGAAATTCCATGCCCAGAGCAAAGTCCCATCTAACTGTATACATTTGACTTCGGATACAACGACGATCTGAATAGCGACAATTCGCGAATAGCGACATGCTTTTAGTGCGAGGTCGTATTCACTGCTTGAATAACGACTTTCTGGGTTTTTGACTGCTATTTCAAGTACCTGTCATGCAGAAGTACCAGAATCCATGGCGATGGATAAAGGCACACGTGCAAGAAGATGCAGCCAAGGGGGGGGGGGGTGCTTTTTATTTATATTTTGCTTCAAAATAGTTGGAGTGATCGTTGTACATGATTGCACACTAATCATCAGTACATGTCCCTGTTGATTGCCCCAAAAAGGCTAATTTTTCAATCTATTTCCTTCCATATTGACTTTAAAGTTCCTTTCAATTGTAATATGAAAATAAAGTACACATTGGCATAGAGCATGAAAAGAGCTTCATTTTGATATGCGTGTCATACTATACAAAATATGGGTTCATATGCATTTAAATGGGACTTCGGGTATAAGGACACTTCACGAATAAGGACACTTTTCTGATGCCCCGCCGAATGTCGTTATTCGCAAAGTTGACTGTAGATCTACTCCACCGACACTGTGACAGTCTGTGCAAGAATGCTGTAGCGTAGGCGCTAGGTCTAGGACTAGGGTAGGACAGTAGGAGTAGGACTGGGACTCAGTGGGAGTGGGACACGCAGTAGATGTTGCTAGTACAGGATTGGGGCGTGCTGAGTGGTACCAACACTGACCTGAGTCCAGGCAAGAGCCTGACAGTAACTCCAGAAAAGAATAATGGCACGGAAAAGAAACTGAGCTGATGAAGCACAATCGATTTTGTACCTGAGCAAACTGAGGTGATAGAGACAGTGCAAAGAAAAGCTGCGGAAAACAACACGGAAAAACGAAAAAAGCCGCGTATACAAAGAAGATATGGTGGAAAGATGCAATTGTGAAGAAATCTTACAAGCTTGCAATGAGACAACAATAGGGCTTGAAAGTGCTACGTCACAGCATAGCAACAATTTCAAAAATTCAAAAACCGGATCCACTTGGATCTGGTTTTTGTATGGATCCAAGCACATTTCAAGCGGTCTTACTCACAGCAAGGTGATGTAGCCGGTGAAACTGACTGATTTGGCTACTGGGGGCGGGGTGACAACTGGTGGCGAAATAAAAGTCACACCTGCATGCGACATGAGTGGGTTGCTATGCACCCACATACATAGGCAATAGCAAAGTCACACCTTAGTGGATCCAAAATAGAAATCTGATGTCAATTTACTACTCCCTGGGCGTTTTTGACGTCATCACTTTCAAGCCCTATAGGCAACCAATGGACATATGGTATTTTCCGGAGTATAAGCTGCACCTTTTGACACCAGTAATTCCCCTGATGAGAGAAGCTCAGTGTAAAATGTTACTGTGAGGAGTCTCTAAAGCTTATCCTTTTCTTCAGTCTGATTGCATTGTGTGACTGTGTGAATGTTTGTCTCCTGCAAACTATGATTTTACAATTCCCGGTTTTGCCATTCAGTTACTATTGAGCACACAAAATTGCAGTGACAGTCACGATACTCTGCTTCCCACGGTTGATTAATCATCAACGGGCAAATTAAAAACGGAGGGGGCAGATGTACTCCCAAGTAAGTTCTGGCTGCATTCAATAGCCCTTATCTTTAGGAGCCCAAGGCTTAGCCTGAGGTAGAACGGGGCTGCATTGTCAACACCTGTATTCGGTGTTGTAAGCCAAGTACGAACGAGGGATTAGTAAATCGCTGGCATTTTACTACTCCCGTGGCGTGTCCCTGGCCTTAAAACTCACAATGTGACGTATGGAGTGGGATGCCCTGATGCCAACAGCAGTCTTGATCAGACACTGAATTGTAGTGTTTAAGAAGACTGGCGTGATGGCAGCTGTTTTTTTTCACATGATCACTCAGCACGAGGTGATAATACGAGTACCGTGCTATTTGCGTGCCCTACCCTGTGCCGCTTTTGTAGGTCTGTTGTGATTAGACGGAAGCAGCAGTCACGGGAAGGAGTCCCCAGTAACAATGGAAGGTATGCAATGTGACTCTGGCATGAGCTGGCACAAATCAAGTTTTATTTCGGAATGATTTTCTGGCGCGCTGGGTTGCACAATATAGTTATGACTTTTAAAGATGGCAAGGCATGAACACCCCCCCCCCCCCCCCCCCCCCCGGAAGCTCTCTCCACAACCATAAGAGTGTTAGTCTGTTTGAGTGGTTATGATGGTCATGTCTGCAATGTTTGCATCAAGAGTTGAGAAGCGCATACGGTGACTCCACTTGTCTGAACATACTTGCCGAGTACACCGACTCAGTGGACATTATATTGCCATGTGTACATGATTTATACCTATCTGCACGTGTACCGGTGTGATCGAAGACCATTGTTCTCTTCTCTCTTCTACTGTGTGAATTTGGCAATGCAGGCTGCGATGGATCTCGTCTGATCAAGGCTGCCACAATGGCCGCCAAGATACGAGGTGAAAAAGCGAACGTGCGTCACCTGCATGTGGTTGTCGTGGGGGCGCCCCAGGCCGGCGGAGGCAGTTTACTATCGTCGTTGCTTGGTCGGTCTTATGCACCGCAGGGTCCCAGTGTGGCGCCGGGCATGCAGGCAGAGTATGCTGTGGCGACTGTGGAGGGAGGACGGCTCGTCGAGTGCCATGACGTGGTCGATGCACTATCCAGGCTGTACGTGGCATCCCTGATGAAGCCCCAGCCGAGCGCAGACGCACCACCGCAGGCGAAGTCTGCTACTTCCGCCGAAGGGACTTCATCCACGAATGGTAAAAGCGCCAGGAGCCCTACTAAAGGTGCCGTTCCGAGCATCTGCGAGCCCGTTGCATATCGTATTTTGAGCGACCAGCCGACTCCGGACGAAGTGCATCACACGGTGCGTGCCTTTCTTGGCAAGGACCTGTCCCGTTACATGAAGTCATCCAGTGCCCAGTCCGAATTCACGGTGATAACGTTCCTAGAGCTGCATGGTCAGTGTACCTACCCAGCCGTCCAGCCACTTCTGATGACGTCACAGACAACACTTGTTGTGACCTACGATGCGTCAAAGGACTTGATGGAGAGAGCTGCAGGGCAGGGAGGGGACGGTGACAGTGCCGAAGAATGCGCCCAGCGTGCAGCGCTGCCACAGGGTTCAACACGCCTCGACCAGCTGCTATCCTGGTTTGACATGCTGCTTCCTCACGGCAGGACGAGCGGTGTAGAGGCCACACAGGATTTGTTTACAGTCGGCTGCTGTTCTGCAGGCGCCGATCAGAAGAAATACGACGATGCCCGGGAAGTGCTGCACAAGAAGATCAGACAGTCGCGGCACAGACTGCTGGTTCAGAACCCGGCATCGCACTTCACCGTTGACAGTACGGGGTCCGACCGAGCAGGCACCGACGGAATCCAGCGATTGCGGAGTACCATCATCAAGCGATGCCGAGAAAGCAATCACCAGATCCCGGTCGTATGGTTGCGCTTCTGCATAGCAATTCAAATGCTCAAGAAAGAGAGTGATTTACCGTGGATTTCCCTCCGAGATGCTACGACAATTGCAGAGGCAGTTGACGCTGTCCAGAATGACGACACAGATGGCATGGAGCAGCTGTTACGGTATGCTCACGATGCCGGTCACTTGGCGTACTTTCCGAGCGACACCCTGGAGCAGCTGATCATCCTGAACTCACAGTTCATACTCGACTGCGTCAGTGCGTTTGCCAACGTCAACTTCCAGCGAAAACGCCTCGGCATGCGCAAGGAGGTGTACCTGGAGCGCTACAATAACGGTACGACCATCGAGTCGGTGGCCAAGTTTGCTCTGAAGAAGTACGAAGGGCACGATAGCCTGACAAATATACGGCTGGATCACATTATGTCCAACCGCGAGGAGTACGATTGCATCTTTGGCGTTCTGGAAGAGCTTGGGCTGTTGGCATCCATTCCAATCAAGGATGATGATCGTCCCGATGGTGAGGCAAAGCGTGATTTCATGATCCCGGCCGTAGCCAAGCTGCAGCGTATAAGCATAGTCGAGGGTTCACGCCTATCATTGCCTATCTACCTTTGCCTGACAGCACCCGGTGAGAAGTATCCGCTACACTTTCCGGTCGCGCTGTACTGGAAATGTGTTGCCAGCGTCCTGCACATGTCCCCTAACATCTCATGGACGCAGCTGTCGTTGGACGAGGCGCGGATTTACTGGTGCAGGGAAGGCTGGCCGTGGCTGCGCATGCGCTATGCCCGCTTTGGCCTGCAGGTGTGCCTGGAGGGGTACACGAAGCTCCTGGGCGATCACGAGACCGGCACCGAGACCCTGGAAGAGCTCCGGCAAGTCGTCAGCAGCGTTCTAGTCAGGCAGCAGCGGCGTCGTGACGTCGTCGTGAGGCCGGCCGTGCCGTGCCCGTGCGGCTTACCCGCCGGCAACAGATGCATAGAACACGGACGGAAGTCCTGCGACACCGACAGCTGTGCCCACGCCCTCGGCACCATGGCGGACGGCAAGGCACCCGTGTGCCCACTGCAGAAGACGCCGCAGAGAATCGCGCAAGTCGCACCGTTCTGGCTCGCCATGGAGCAGGTAAGGTGTGTGCATGGAAAGGAGACAACCATAAGCAACAACGGGAAAAGTCTGAAGAAAAAATTGACTGTCACCACCAGGACCCGAACCAGGGACTTTCCCTTGAGGCCAGCGATGCTCTAACTACTGAGCTACTACCGACACAACCGCATTGGACACGCGTAACAATATGAACGTAACCACGGCACTGAGCACGTCTTAGGATTAGCCATTCAGTTGACGTGTAGCTTGCCTTTGCTTGATGCATCGTCAGGTGATGCGACCGCGAATCTGGCTAACTCTACTTTTTTTTTACGCTAATGCACGAGTGCTTGCACTATGTCTTCAAATTTTGCTAAGTTGTGGTCATGGTTACGTGTGTGTATGGTAAATTTGCCTGTGTGTATTTTGCTTAGGACAAGAACTTGATGCTGCACAAATGCGAGAAGAAAAGCCCCGGTCCATCTGGTGAGCATTGAGCAAGCGCCTTTGTTGCTCGTAGGTGTAGACGGAAGTAATGATCTTATTACTATTGTGATGGTGATGTAATGATGATGTAAGGATGATGATGTTGATGATGTAATGATCAGGATGTGCAAAGATGCAATGCCATGATGTAATGATTGTATCACTACTGTGATGGTGATGTCATGACCATGTTGATGATGTAATGATCGTATCACTACTGTGATGCTGATGTAATGCTGATGCAATGATCATATCACTACTAGTATACCGTACAGGCACTGCAGAAAGGAGCTAGTGCTGCTATGCAGGGTACTGTTTGAAAAAGTAACGCGGGTACTGTGGAGCCTGTGTAAGCCGACCGCTCAAGCCGGGACCTTAAACATGTGGTCGCTGTGTAGAGTTGGCCTCCTTCTCCAGGGTCATTTGACCGGTCCGGCGGATATAACACTCCCTGGTCCTACTTGTAATGGTCCTCTAGAACAGACAGTCGTCTTGTCAGCGTGGTCACCGTGACAGGTTTCACTGTACAGGAAAACCTGGTGTAAGCGACCTCTGGGTTTAGCGACCACCTGCTCTTAACAACCGTTTTTCCATGCACCTACTACTACTACTATACAGACACTGTGGGACCTGGCTCTAAAGACCACCTGGCTTTAATGACCGCTTTTGCTTGCACCGTGGGGTGGTCGCTTAAACCAGGTTTTACTGTAGTTAGATAGAAAGTGGCGGTGCATGATATTGAGAATTGTCTGGATGCAAACTGAAGGGATGCTGACCAAGGGGTCTCCAACGGTATACAGTGAAACCTGTCTAAGACGACCGCTCAAGGGACCTTCAAAACACGGTCTCTGTTACCAGGTGGTCTCCTTATCCGGGGTCATTTGACTGGAAATAGCATCCTTGGGTCCTGGCTGCAGTGGTCTTCTGGGACAGGTGGTCGCCTTATCCGAGTGGTCCCCTTGACAGGTTTACTGTACATGTGCTCGCATGCACTGTCCGGTATGTGCATGCTAAACTATAATTCAGCACGGCAAGAATTTCTGGTCACTGAATCAAGACTAGTGGTTTACGTTCTGGTCTTGCCAATGTGTGGTTCGTTTCTGTTCTGTGTTTCCTTGTGATGTTTCGCAGAGCTAACAGGCTTGCAATCACAGTTTGGAAAGATCCGTGGATCCATCGGAGACGTGGTACGTTGCGGAAGCTGCTCACCTCGAGTGCTAGAGCATTTTTATTTTTTAACTCCACTGGTAAACACGAACACCTTAGCAATAGTGGCACACAATCCACAAGAGTGCAGGATCTAAACTGGGTTTGGGGTACGCCCCGCCAATGCCATATGCTCCGAGTCATGTCACATGCTGCGGCCAGTGTGGGGTGCTTAGCCACAGTACCCGGCATCGAGCTATGCTTGCAGCAGGCTAGGGGATAGAGACTACAGTGTGAACAGAGCCCCATTTACAATCAGGGCATCGGGTGAGTTTGCCGGAACGTTACAGTCACGACGGTATCGGCCGTACAAGTACCATTTTCTTAGGACGTTGATTTATTATTAGGGTTAAACTAGGGCTGAGCCGGGTAGCATTTTCTTCGGGTATCGGGTCCGGGTAGTTTTCCACAGGTAGCAGGGGTACCCGATCGGGTAATGTTTCCATGGTAAGACCACAATGCACACCGGCCCCTTCCCTTACACACTGGGTAGACATGCGTGAATTATTTGTACACGTGCACTGTACATGATGTCATCTGTGACTTCGGGTTTCCGGGTACTATTCGGTACCCGTCTACCCGAGGTCCTCACGGGTAGCACGGGTACCCGACTACCCATGCACACCACTAGGTTAAACCCTGTTAACCCTAGCGGCAGATGCAGCGCCTAGCGGTGGGGATGCGGGGATAAGTCTCACAACCGCTGGCACAAGTGCCGAGAAACCCCATTAGCTGCCCGGGGTTTACCGGGTGTTAGCGGCCGTCGTCAGTTCCCTTCGGGAACGGACACGATAAGTTTTTTTTTTAACTATTAGGGATGCATGGTTGGCAAAGTGGTTAGAGCATTGGCCTTCCAAGCATGAGGTGGTGAGTTTGTTTCCCAGTTTGTGTGAATATGATGTCTACCATTGGGATGATGTCTACCATTGGGAGACCCATCTGGGATTGAGTACCTGACTTTGGTTGGGGACTCGGCGAAAGGGTTACCCTGGAAAGGAGATGAGCACTGCCCTCCCTATGTCAAGCTCATCTGTCTGTTTGTGCTTGTCTGTGTGTACATTTATGTGTGTGTGTGTGTGTGTGTGTGTGTGTATGTGTGTGTGTGTGTATGTGTTCTTTCATTCTCCTGGGTGGTTACCAACAGCCAGTGTATGCCGGAGTATGTGGTGTGGCGTGTGTGTAAAAAAAATGAAAAAAAATGAAAAATAGGGATTCACTGGCCAGAAAGCCACTTCAATCAGCTGTGTGGTGGATACCAGGCTGGTCAATTCATCAGCCTTGCAAGCTGTTGAATGGTGTAATCCCAGCACAAGTTGCTATGTCTAACATAGCTGTTCGCTATCATCGCTTCGCGATGGGCATGTCTGAGGTCTGAGGTGTGTGTGTGTCACGGTGTGTGTGTGTGTGTGTGTGTGTGTGTGTGTGCCACGGTGTGTGTGTGTGTATGTGTGTCTGTGCCTGTCTGTTCTTGTATGGCTGTGCCCGTGTGTCTGTGTATCTGCCTTTCTGTGTGTGTGTGTGTGTGTGTGTGTGTGTGTGTGTGTGTGTGTGTGTGTGTGTGTGTGTGTGTGTGTGTGTGTGTGTGCACGTATGCTTTGTTACAGAGCCAGAGCAGTAGCCAGGGCACGTCTGGCATTGACACAGGGCACAGTGACTTCTACACCGACACGGACGGCAGAACGCCGTACGATAGTGCGGACGTAAGCGTGGACACTGACACGGACGTCGCCAGCAGCTATCGGAATAGCCTCACGGACGGCAACACAACGGACGGCATGACAGACGTGGCGTCGACCAGTGCGTTCGAAACAAGCACCAGCACTAGCACGCTGGGTGCCGACGAGCAAATTACGATGAGCTTGTCGTCGTCTTTTTGTTCCGGGTCGATTGTAAGCACTCCTCTTACAGCCAGCCAGTGTGCACCGGTGTTAAAACCGGGATGCGGCTATTGCTAAGTTCTCTCGTGAAACTATTTGCCCTCAGCCATGCTACTCTAGCAACTAGCCGCCATCTCACCGAAAATAGTTTTTGCCATTTTTTTACCAAATCATATGGATTTGTGACTTTTGTGCAGATTTGCAGTACCACCCCGTTAGCACTGTAGTTCATGGTCATGGGTTGTGAATAGCGCTCCAAAGTCTGCTGTGTATCCTGTATGCCATGGGTCCTAGGGAGTGTGATACACACACACATGTACATGGCAATGCTGACGTTGCCACATTACTGGGAGTAAGGGAGCATTGTATTGAATTTCAGGTACACATTGACCCGGGGGTATGTTTTGGATTGCTTTATTTTTCAAGTAGATCGTGCAGACTTAATACTAAATGCACACTCATGTATCCCCCCCCCCCCCTCTCCCCCTCTCCCCCTCTCCCCCTCTCCCCCTCTCCCCCTCTCCCTATCTGAGTGTGTATGTATGGATGGGTGCGGGTATGCACCTAATTATTTTATGTTTCAGAGTCGACCAGTCAGCCAGGGATCTCCTGAATTGTTGTATGTGCCCGGTGCAAGATTTATAAGTGGCGACTTGGACATTGCAACAGCGGATGACACTGATGTGGAGGATAACTCCAACAATGATTTCAGGCGGGTAAGCAGGTCTTGCTGCCTCCCCCTCACCCATCCCCCCCCCCCCCCTCTTTACAAACATTTAGAGAAGGATCACTACTTCATGCTTACCAAGATTCAGTCAAAGTAAGTTAGCAGACGGCTGGTCGGTGTTCCCCAACCTGCCGCTACACACACACACACACACACACACGCACACGCACACGCACACACACACACACACACACACACACACACACACACACACACACACGCACACACACACACACACACACACACACTCGCAAACCTTATTTTGTTATTCAAGATTGCGAAACCAGAACCATCCTTCTATCCCTGCCTCTCTTACCACCCCACTTTTAAGTAAGTTGTCGTCTGACCCCTCTAATATACAATTCCATTTCCGTAGAAAAAAACAGATCAGTCTTACCATTGCTATGTACAGTGGTGTATTTATCCACTGGAAGATCTATCATAAATATTCATGTGCAATGCGTTTTAACACTACGGCATCTAAGCTGACGCTCATTGAGCGGCTTTCACAGTTTTGACCCCCCACCCCGACTCGAATGTCTTTAGGGCATGCGGCGACGCTGCAAGGCTCGGACCGTGTCCCTTAGTCCTGCACGCCTGCTACTGACAACAGCTCTGACGCCAACGCCTGGAGCAGAAGCAGCATCATCCTCTCCCTTAAGTGACCGACGCTCAACCAGCTCCGTTGGCAGTCGTGTGTCGCAATCTCTTTCGGATGGCGACGGAGCAACGCATTATCAGGTTGTTTCTGAGGTGAGGTAGTAACTGTAGTGGTGTGTGTGTGTGTGTGTGTGTGTGTGTGTGTGTGTGTGTGTGTGTGTGTGTGTGTGTGGCTCTGGCTCCGAGCGCCGCACCATCCCATGCCCGACCTGCTCTCGGAAGTTCACACGTCTCCAGTACCTGGCTCAACACAAATGCAAGAAGTAGCTCTGCCCTCCTTGCCTCTTTGAAGCACTGCATCACCTTTAGGTGGCAGTTTCAAGGTTCAAGGTGTGTGTGTGTGCATGTGCGCGTGCGTGCGTGTGCGTGCATGCATGCATGTGTGTAGAGAAGGGGGGGGGGTTGTGTGTGAGTATGTAGCTCATTCAGGCAGACCGATGATGTGCACCTGCTCATGAAAACCTAATCATTTGCAGGACTCGCATCATATTGGGTCAGTATTCTCTGAAAACCTGTTCCGGAAAACGCAAGCACCCCCCCCCCCTTCCCCCCGGTCAAAAAGGGGAATTCCCCTCAATCAGCACATGGTCCCTCATTAATCCTATAGTCTCATCTTATGTTCCTGCTCCATATTTGGACTATGCATCATGTGCAGACTTAAAAAATGTGTTATTTGTTGTAAGATTTGTTACCAATCCATACTGGAAAGTCAGTTGTAGCTTGAGGTTGACACAACTCATCTATCCTGTGGCCCTGCAACAGAGCAACACATCCGACATTCCCATTCATCCAGACGGCACTATCATTGCCATGAGAAGCGCCCGTGTTTGCTTTCCCGCCGGCGCCGTGGATCAGATCACACACATCCCGCCTCCCGTGCACTTTAAGCTGCGCCATCTGTTGAAGACAGAGGAAGGTGCTCCCATCACATTCCACAGTGTAAGCTTGTTAGGCAACTCATGACCTGGCAAAGGCTGGCATGCGGGCAATATGGATGCAGCGAATGGAGTAGTTATTTAATAATTATTGGTCTTTGACCACTTTAACTCTTGTGCTTTGCCCACTTAACTTAGGCTGGGGTCTGATCTACGCATCTTCTACCGCTTTATGAGCTGCATCTGTGCCTTGAACTTTGAGGGTGGTGGCGTTCTACGGATGCAGAAGCTCAGCTTGATTGAGTCCCATGCGAGCTCTGAAGGTTATTTCCATTAATGTTTAAAAGTGTGTATGATGTCTGTATCAAAATCTTTCGCCCAATTTTCCAGACATAACCGGTGGAGAAAGAGCATTGTGTTGACTATCAACGTTTGTTTTCCTTTGTGTGTTTTTGTGTGTGTCACCATTGCTAACAGATGGTGGTGCTGAGGCCTCATGGAACTCACTTTGACGAGCCCGTCAAGCTTGAGATTGATGTCCCGGGCCTGGACAGACAACACCACGTAGGTATCCGTGGGTTCGCGCAGTGAAAAATGCCCGACGCATACCCCATGCACTTAACCCGAATGCACGTAGCGTTGTGAGCAAGCACATGTATATTGTGTCAGTGTATACTGTTGTTTGCAGTACTTCAAGTACAGTGATGCATTTAATGAAATCCAGTCAAGCGAGTCAATGCCACTCCGAACGCTGTGCATTTGCAACTCTAGACCTGAGAACACTGGGATGAAAGCTGGCGCAAGGCAAAAACTTGGCTCACGCGATCGGATTTCATTGAGCGGCACTGTGCGAGTATCACAATTCTGTCCCGGGTTTGGACCGCAAGATCATGTAGGTAGATGTGGAATGAAGAGTGAAGCATACCGATCCATACTCCCGCACTTAACCCGAATCCACGTAATGTTGTATGCAAGCACACGTGTACTGTGTCCATGCTTGAAATGCCTCAAGTATATCTGTACGGTTGTCAACAGTCTACCCATTGTGAATGCTTCTCATCATTTTTTTTACTTGTGTCCTTTTCCTGGTGTGTGTGTGTGTGTGTGTGTGTGTGTGTGCGCGTGTGTGTGTCTGTGCACGTTCTTGCATACGTGTGTGTGTGTGTGTGTGTGTGTGTGTGTGTGCGTGTGTGTGTGTGCGTGTGTTAATGTGCATACACCATGCTGGGTGCACAGCTCTATCTGGTACACTACCCGTGCACCGACAATGCCGTGCACCACCCATCACTGACTCGCACCGGCAGCAGCAGCGATGCATTCGCCGGCCACTCGGACTGCACCATCGTCCACGTGGGCCGCCACGTCTGGACGCTCAGCAAATATCCGGAGGACAAGCACAGCGCCGTCCCCGCCAAGGCGTCCAACAGGACGGCTGCGGAGCGGCTGCAATGCCCGTACGACCATGTCACTGTTGATCATGTCAAGAAGCTCGTCCGCGTCACCATGCGCCACTTCAGCAGGATCCGTAAGCTCTTGCCTCACTCGCCAGGAATCTTGAAATAGAGTTGTTCTTGGGGTATCATTTTGCTTTCTGCATTGGGGGCAACCCCAAGCCTAAGCTCCTATATTTTGCACACTTTCTTAGCAACCATTGGGTCACTGATACATGTACATAGAGTGAAGTAAGGTATTGTTCAAAGTTTGATACCGTATTCGTATACATGTAGTGACATGGCCAATGTAGATGCAGCAAAGGGGTCTCTATGGCAGAGGTCCAGCAGTAGCAGCATTCCCAATGGCAATTGTTTGGTATATTCAGCTAACTATGTGATGTGCGGCCACGTTGACCTTGGTTTTGTTCCGCTTCTCGTTATCGTGTTCAGTTGTTGTCACCAGTCCGCAGCTGCTGAGCGAGAAGCAGAAAGGACTGCTGAGGAGCAGAAAGCGTCACCTGTGCCGTGTGTTCGTCTACACCAAGTGGGTGGACCTGGATGCCGAGCGCCTGGGGCTGAGCATCAGGGTGATCCCGTCGGCGACGAACTCCTGCGACACGGCCATCTCTCAGCTCGACGATCCACCACTGGACATGACGCTGGCGGGGCGTGCGTCCGAGTACATCCTGCTGAGGCGCACCGACTGCCTGGAGTACACGTTCCGCATCATACCGGCTGGGAGCTGGGTGGCGCGCGACGACAGCGATCGCCAGACGTCCTCGTACATGCGCTCCTCCCTGGCGCACTTTGAGCTGGACGACGGCTGCCGCCTGTGGGATCGCGGTCGCCTGGTGTACGGCGAACTGGTCTGCAAGGTGGTCAAAGGCGGCGGCGGCAGTAGTAGTAGCAGCACTGGCGGTGGTGCTAGCAGTACGGGACACGACGACCTGTCCACTAGCGCTAACGACGATACAGTTGTTGTGTCGTTCGAACACCCCAATTCAACCAGCAGTGGTAAGGTGACAAGCAATGCGCTCTTCCTTTCCAGCTGCTCAGCTGGTCTATGTGATACATGTATGTTGTACAGTGTACATGGACTCGTATGCACATGTACAAACATTGAGTTGGCTAGTGCATTGTCAATCTGTTATGGCAATGGTGAACCGGCAAAAGCACATCAATTGAACTGCATGGAGGTCTGGCCAACCAGTGTACATGTATTTAATTGCGTTATTCGCAGACCAGCAAAACATCATGGTGTCTTTACTAACTTTGGCGATGTTTGAAGGTGACTGCTCCGTGTGCTTTTGATGGATTGCGAGTGACTTTTAAATACATGAAGTGGCTTCCATGGAGTTTGTGCAGGCTAACAACAAAAATGCTAGTTGATTGTCTTTATGGCCTGATGCCTGGCAACACATTGAGTAAATCCTTTCGTGTGGCTGGTCGGGTATTCACTTACTCGTAGGTCCGCGGACGCGCCGTGTTCCCGACCAATGGGTGGACTTCCGGCGGCTATCGCACCTGCAGCGCACTGAGAGGTTCAATAAGCTGAAGCAATACTTGGCAGATGAGGTACGGACTGTCTATGAGCTTGGTAGCTATCTCCTGGATGATGATACTCAGTTCCCGAATGGACCAAAGTCGGTACGTACTCACTTTTGTGATAACGTGTTTTTCAGATGTTTGAGGGAGCTGCACTGTGTGTGTGTGTGTGTGTGTGTATGTGTGTGTATGTGTGTGTGCGTGCGTGTGTGTGTGTGTGTGTGTATGTGTGTGTGTGTGTGTGTGCTCGCGCGTGTGTGTGGTGCCAGCTAGTTTGGTTGGTGGGTACACTTATGCCGGATAGTGCTGGGTCTGTTGCCAACGGGATCGGCTGCTTGAAGGTGTAATGTTGTACATGCCACCTTTGTTGGTTCCAGGGTTCATATACTATCTATTTGAAGTGTACACACCTGTTAACCATGGACTACTTCTGGCTGGATTAACTCTTGTGTAATCAATGGTGCTAGTGAAGCTTTTATCAGATCCATTCTGATTTAGCCACCCACACTAGTAGCAAGTATCACCTTCACTGGGGGCAGGGGTAAATGCAGTTGGATCCCGGGACGGATACACTGATGCCATCAATCCTTTTTCTGCACCTTGCCGTCACTCACTCCCTGAGGTGTGGTGAGCCCATAAGTGGGATCATTCCCAAGCCAGGCCAGAGTTTGGAGGTGCCAGGGGTGTCGGCCATTTGTACAAGCTTCACCCTGTACTGTTCGTGATCGGTTAAATAGCGCTGCCCTCTGTTTGTTTTCCTTACACATTAATTTTGGTGTTGATGTTGCATCTTCTGTATGTTGCAATGTCCGATATTCCGCAGACAATTGACAACGCGGCGGACAGCAAGAGGTCGTTCGACCTGTTCGACGCTCTAATGGACCTGTGGGTTAGACACATGGATACTGTCAGTGGACAGACTCTTTACTACTCCACCATACGTATGGGGCTGGACGGCACTGCTGAGGCCATCAAACCTCTTCTGCAAGGCTAGAAGAACGCATGGAACTCGTATGTTTGCACACTGGGTGTGAGCCTCACTCCCGCATACGGAAATGGCAAGCTGCCTGGTGAACATTTCAGCCTTCGCACTGCATGCGTTGACAATCGCTGCACTCGTCAGCTGTGTGATCCGCATACGGCTGCACCAGTCCTTAGAGCTTAGACCGTAATACTAATAGACGATACAGGTTTGCTTGAAAGAACTGCTACTTCCGTATGGATATGAGCGCTGTGTACGAGTGCTGTGTACGGGTGGTGCGTACGAGTGCTGTATGCGAGTGCTGTGTGTGGGTACTGCGAATGTGGGGACCTTATCTACTTGCACAAACATGACTCTGTGGCTAACGTACACGTAGTCGCAGCCAGCATGTCAGCCAACGTGTGATCTGCTGGACAGGATCATCGATTTCCTTGGCGATTGAAATAGCTCACAGCTTTGCTTGACCACTAGCTTGACTGCTGCCACCGGTGACGGCAGCGTAGGTAATGTTGATGGTGGGCGTACATGTGGCTGGCGTGATAATAATTATTATAATTTTCATTGACAGACTACAGCGAACTGATCACTAGACACGACGCTTTGTCATCTACTATGTATTTCAGCATAATATAATTTTAGTATTTTACCCGTGCATCGGGCCGGCCGTGCATCTAAACTGACCTTGTATAGCGCTATTTTTTTGAATACGGAATAAAATATAGGATTACGAATGATGAACCTTGAATCCTTGACTGCCATCACTCTCCACTATAGTATAGGTCATATCACCAGACCTTTCGAGCCCAATACACTTATAAATTTATCAAAATTAATGTCCACGCTGAGTGTCTCGTACAGCCGCCGGTTTGTGGAGGTGTTCGAGAGGATACTGTACAGTCAGAGCTCGCTTATCCGGTCCGCTTTTATCCGGATCCCTCGCGGCATCCGGAAGAAAATAGCTGGTTACCGATTTACAGCATACCGGTACGTGATGCATCCAACATAACCGGTGTTCGATTATCCGGTTCCCTCGCCTATCCGGATATTTTGTTTTGTTTTGAAAAACGGATGTGTGCGGTTAAGCGAGGTCTGACTGTACTAGTAAGTATGGCTGGGTGATGAGGCGTCTCGTCGTTTATTACCACGCGGCATGCCTGTGTGCCGTGTGGAGCCCATTGGCTGTTGGCGTGGGGCCCCTGCATGGGAGACCACCTCCTGTACCTAAGTAGACATTGAGACGGCCGGGTTCCTCTGCGGCTCCGCGCCACTTGGCTGCGTGCAGCGGAGTAGCGCGGTTCCACTGACACTCGCCAACCGCGGTACCGCGGTCGTACTCCACGTTTTGTGATGACGGTTTTACCTGCCTGTGTGCGCACGCGCACGCAATCAAAAAAATCCTCGTGTTCTGGCCTCCGCAACGAATAATTAAAATTTGAATTTTAAAATTCTCGCGTACAAAACAATGCAAAGTACGGGAAACAAGTCGAGCCGCGCTCGCAGTTTTAGACCAAGAATCGTAGCAAAAGCTCGTGTTGAGCCGTGGCCTCGCTGCTCCAGTACAGTCAGACCTCGCATATCCGGTCCTCTTTTATCCGGACTCCTCGCCATCCGGAAGAAAATCGTTGGTTACCGATTTACAGCACATGGCTTGCTTACATACAGTATATCTGTTCGATTATCCGGTTCCCTCGCCTATCCGGATATTTTTTTTGTGGAAGACGGATGTGTGCGGTTATGCGGGGTCTGACTGTAGCATTATATTTTATGAACAAGATCTCAGCAATGCAAGTGCTTTTATGGACTCCAGTCATCGGGCCAGACTACCATGACGGTTACATGGTGATCAATAAATACGGACAGGGAGGCAAATATACCGAGAGCCTGTAGGAAGGCCTCAAGCATATACACAAGAGGATGAGCCACGCATGCAGAAAGCTACATGTACTTGCTCAAGGCAACCTCAGCGGCAACTCGATCATGCTCTGAGATATCACAAACATGCAATCAACAGTTTCCCGTTCACGCTGTGACGGCGGACAGTAGCCAGTACACAATGCTACATGCTATGCACACTGAAATCACCCACATTGCTAGTCTAAAACATGCCGCGCTTTGCGCAGCCTGTACACATTTGATCGGTTCCAGAAAAAGAACTCTGTTCACCATACTACCGGTATGTTACCCTACTAGTGCCGGGTAGTATCGCAGAGTACATGTTTATTGCAAGTCAGTGCAAACCTGAAGACAAGACTATGAGTGCTGCATGGCACACCCAGAACAGCTTTGAGTTCAGTGTAAAAGCTATGGATACCCGTGCTCTACATGCTCCAGTCGAAGAGTGTGAGTACCTGGACAGTGTCTTGAACGCAGACCGGGCTCCGGGCGTGCGTAGTGGAAGTTTGCAAGCTTGCTTTCAATGTCCTCTGGCACGGTCTCCGGCGGACGGGAAATTGTCACTGGTGCTTTTCTGGTACACGGTGACTTGGAACAGATTCTGGGCGATGACAAAACACGTGAGTGTCTCTTGCTCCCAGAACACTCCATGGGGACTTTCGCCGGTTGACTTTTTGTGACAGCGTTGCCGAGCGTGTGGGCTTGTTTCACTGAGCTCGCTTTCTTCTCTTCATGGCTGTGGATGTCGCCATTATTGTCTCTGGCATTGCTTCTCAAGCCTCTAGCTGACGGCAGAAAGAAATGAGTGAAGAGCAAGCCAGTGGCGATGTCGTAGGCACGTCTGTGCACCTGGGGAACGGTGGGGAAGTTCTCTTCGGTCTGAGCTTGGTAGGGCACCCCATGCAGCACCAAGTCGTAGGCAGCCATCCAGCGCTGTCTCGCAGAGGGGATGTGCGTGGCCGTGACACGTTTGGAGAGTTCAGTAGCCAAAGCAGACGCCTGTCGCCATTGGTGTCCAATCGTGCTGGTGCTATCAGGTATTGCATCTTTTGCGATTTTCTTTCCAGTAACATCCTTTTCTCTGATGTTGCCTTTCTTGCGTTTATGTTTCTTGCCATTGCGCTTCAACTTCTTTGCACTCGTGGGTCTGTGATTGACTCCAATGTCTTTGTTGCCTTGACGTTTCTCGTCTTGGCGCATCAACCACATCACTGCTCTCACGGTCTTGACATATGTGATCATTTTCCCCCAGAGCCAGCGGCTGGCCATGCTGCCCCGTGCCGCAGGCTGACACTTCACTGGACCTGCCATACTGGATTGTGCGGCGACGGCAGTGTCCTTCCAGGCCTGCACCGCCACCGGGATGAACTCCTCGGCCGCCTGCACGGGAATCTCAGAGCCCGTCAAGTCCAGAGCGAGTTTCCAGCGATCGCTTTCCATTAGCCTAGCCACCTGGCCGGGGATTGCAAAAGCAAGGCTTAGTGCCGTACTCCATCGCTTGGCACTGAATACGTCAAAATCTTTCGCAGTTCGGTCACAGACATGTGCGTAGCCACTTTCCACCAGAGCTTGCCAATTGTCGATTCGTTCCTCTGGTCCGGGGCCTGTTGTGTGACTGTGAGCAGCTTTGCCCATGTCAACATTTGATTCTGTTGTACTACTCGTAAGCTCATCGTTGCAGCCCAGTTTCCTTGTGTACTGCAATAACTCAGAGTCTGTCATTAATGTGGCGGAGGTGAGAGTGGCGTGCTTGGGTGCTGGTGGAAGTATGTACGGGTTGACACACTGCCTCTCGGCTAGGCTCGGTGGACCAGGGAACACGGCCATCGCATCTTTCCACTGTGCAAACTTGTTCCAGTGAATTGGTGGCTTCCTGTGATCTACTGCCAGGACACTGGTGCACTGCTTGGTAGGGTGTGTGTGGGGAATGGGAGCTGGCGACAAGACGCCGTTCTCCCTGCCGTCCATGCCCGGACCAAACACCCGCGCCCAGCCCACTGGAGTCTGACTATGTCTGGTCGATCCTCTGGTCGAAGTCGCGGTATTGCCGCTAGTGTTTGAGCTTGCTGTTATTGCCGTGCTGTTGGCATCGTCTTCCTGGTCCTGGTCCTCGCCCATGGTGTCGATGTGTGTGATGCTGCTGTGCTCATTGCCTCGGTATCTGCTGCTTGATGTGAAGTGACTTCTGTTTTCGCTGATACTGTTGCCGCTGCTGACTCCAGTGCTCCTGTTGCTGACTCTGATGCCGCTTCTGCTACCGCTACTTCCATGACTGCTATTTCTGCTGTTGCTGCTGTTGCTTCTACTGGTGGTGCTGCCGCTGCTAAACCTGCTGTCGCCATTCCGTGTCACACTCGAGCATGACTTTGCAGTGAAACCTAAACCGCTGCCGTCATGACAGCAGGGACCCAGGCCATCGTGATTGTGCAGCAAACCCTCAAAATCTCTCAACCAGTCGAACTGCCCTGGAGAAAGCGAGGAAAGAGGACCGCTTGCGCTATTCGCCGCTCTGCTGCTTGCTTGACTCTTAGCACTGTTGCGAGTTGCAGCACGGCTTCTGTTAGCAGTGTGTCGTCCTCCGATTTCATTGCCTGTAGTACTTCTACTAAGCCCATGCCGACCTCGGATGTAGTTGTTCGCATCCAAGGTAACATGGTCGCTAGTTCCAGGCACGATTGGAGGCAACGTCACAGTCGCCCGGCCTCGCTGTGCTCCATTCTGCGCGAGCTGGGGCCTGCCAATACCAACACTTCTTTGGACGGCTTCACTCCTGGTGGCGGCCCATTGATTACCGCGGGGCATGATTTCTTCTTTGCATGTGCAAATTCCGCGGCTTTTCGAAACGGATGGGTATTTCTTGCTCAGCTGCGTGAGGCAATCTGCAGCAGCCGAGCAATGATCTTACCGTTGCTGACTCAGTGGATCCGGATCTGTACAACGATGTAACGGCAGAAGTGTAGCGTTCAGTCAGACTGGATCTAATTATTTGTCTTTCCCGCTTTACAACAACACATCCGTACTTGCTACTTCCGTCAAGATAGGCGGAGGAAAATCATGACTTCTTCCTTGCCTACTGCTAGTAGCCTACATTACTACCGGTAGTACTTCCCAGTTGGTCTCGTCTCTGCGGCCTCCGTGCGAAAGATAATTATGGCCCATATCGCAACAGAGTGGGATCATGTAGATCTACCAAGACGCGTTCCAGTGACTTGTCCTTGTGTGTGCTTGTCCTTCGTGAACGATCGATCAACGAAACACCCTGCAAGTGCAAGGCTGCAGGACTGTAGTCTACTGTACTAAAGTAAGTTAGTTTGCGCCTCGCTACCATCAAGTGCCAGGTCTACACTAACACGTAACTGTACACAAAGCCAAAGCGACGTCACGTTTGATGGTGGTCAAGAAGACACGAAATCGAATGCTGCTCGAAGGAGGACGAACCGAAGCCGAAGAAGAAGAAGAAGTGACAACCACCGTCATGCATCGCAAGCCTGACTGAACGTTTGAAGGGAGCGGAAATATTTCCGCTACTAGTACATGCACCGCGTAATACCAGTCTAGGTCTGCTCACCACGAAGTGCAAGTCAGGTTCACTTGTGTGTGTTTTACTTGTAGATCTACCTGCTCAGCTCAGCTGCTAGCTGCACCCGTACCTGTACCTGTGTACGGATAGTGTAGATCTACCCGACACTTCGCCGCCTTCGCCTCGGATAGAACTAATTACTTAGAAGATCAAGAGACAAGATGGTAGACCGAGCTAGCGACTCTGTGGTAGTAGTTACCGTGACAACAAGTAACACGACCATAGACCATAGTACTAGTATGGACGATCCTCGTTCAGAACACCGGAAGAATGCTGGACATGGGCTGGGTTGGACTTGGAGCTGAGGCCGTCTAGATCTACGTGTGGGGGCCTCAGACTCAAAGCTCTTGATATGAGAGTGAGAGAGGTGTCCGACTCGAAATCATCTGACTGTTGAATGAAAGATCTGAGTCCTTGACATGACCTTCATTCTTGAAACCTTATTTTATAGATCCTACCGAGCTGATTGACTCTGAATGAGATTTACGTGACACCGGGCGCTGCAGATACCTATCCAAAGTATCCGGCTTACCTTCGTGGTGACTCAGTGGTCACTGTTGGAACACTGTGACCAATTTGGTGTACGCAGTTCGTCCGACATCGGATGTTTCACTTCAGACCAGAACCCATCGCACAAAATTAATCGTTTGCTGAGTCCTGCAGAACACGCACAGCCCCTAGGCTAGCTAGCACTGTACTGATATCACCGTTGACGCCAGCCAGCTGCAGCCAAGCTACAACTGGGCCTCACAAACCGCTGGACTGTTCCTTGGCCTACAGTTTGGGAGTACACAATTATGTAAGAGTCAGCGCATGCATGGCGGTGATGTTTGATAACGCTATGTAGGCATGCACTTTCATATAAAAAGCTCAGCGGCGTCTATCACTGACTGCTATAGTAGTAGCATTGGGCTGTGCGTATTGGGCTGTGCGTGTGATCAAAATAAGTGCAGCTCGTTAACTGATGAGACTGTTGACCAGACCGACCAGTTCGTGATCCGTAGCCACGCTCAATGCAGTTCGTGTGATGCTGTGTATTGCAGATACACTCACCCGCGCACAGGAGATACTCGTACGTGTCCTTGAAGAATCCTTGCCATGCAGTCGCAGTCTCATGGTCATACGTTGGACATCGTATCCTGCTTACAGGTAGGACAACTGAGCTGGTGTGTGTGTGTGTGCGTGCGTGCGTGTGTGGTGTGTGTGCGCATGTGTTTGTGTATATGTGCGTGTGTGTATGTGTGTGTGTGTGTGTCTGTCTGTCTGTGTGTGTGTGTCTGCGAGCGTACATGTATGTGTCTGCTGGCAGGTTGGGTGGCAACATTGAACATGAAGTGCAACGCTCACCAAGAAGTTTACTAATTTAGAGAAACTTGCCTTCTGGCTTGTGCACTATTCGTACCTGCCTGCGCCGATCGCTCGAGGAACCTTCAAAATTGTTGTGCCCATGCATGTACAGGTGGTCTCCTTATCCAGTGTCATGTGACTGGAATGTCATGTGTCATGTGACCACCAGTGTCATGTGACTGTAAACAACACCCCTTGCCTATTGTTGTAGTTGCCCTTAGGATATCGAGAGGTGGTCCGGCACCTGATCAGGCCTTAAAATACACTGCAATCCCGTGACTACTACTAGGCGGTGGTTTTTGTTATCAGGTGCAACGGCAATGTGACCAGCTACGTCGTGAGCACGCCAAGGCGGAGAAGACGAGTAGCAAGCTGTTCGAGGCGCTGCTGGCAAGCCAACAGACCGTGGCCAAGCTTAATGCGCGCTGCAAGGCGTTGGAAGGAGGTGAGATCGGTACCCGACCCCGGGAGAGACTCACTGCTTTAGCACTCACTATGCTTGGGAAAATACTACTGCTGAAGTAACTGTAAGAGGGCAGGAGGGAGGGCAGGAAGGAGGGAGGGAGGGGGGGGGGGGGGCTGATATACCGATGCAACTAACAGTACAGTCATGTTCACAGGAATATAGCCTGCTGCATGCGCCGGTTGCATACATCTAGATCTGCGATGCATGACGCTCCCGAAACCTGCACTGACATGCGTGCAATATGATTTATCATTGGACACGGGCGTGCGTTGTATATCAAACTAAAGAGCTTTGCTGCATTCACTCCCACTGTATAAGTACAAATTTTCGTTTACGAAATCTTGCGTTACATCACTCCACCAGCAGGTTTGTTACGTTCTAAATTTCGTTTTTGTTCGAGGTCTGTCACCCCGAACGTTCTGAAAAAATTAGTTTGGTACAAACTTTAGTTATTTCGTGACCCCTAACGAACATAGCGAAAGTTAATTCCAAATGAAACTTTGTGCTTATACAGTAGGGCGAACTGCTGAAGGTTAATTAGCCCAGCACATTGTCAAGCAGGCAAAGAGTGTAGTGATCTGGCCTTGCAGCTCTTGTGTTTTAAATTAACCGCTGGTGGTGATGAAGCCCAACTGACAGGACGGTCATAGGTTAGGATGGTGCTGGTTACTTCATTGAGCTGTATCTTATTGTTGTGTGTGTGTGTGTGTGTGTGTGTGTGTGTGTGTGTGTGTGTGTGCGTGTGTGCGTGTGCGTACATGTGCGTGCATGTGCGTGTGTCCGTGGGTGGGTGTTGCCATAGCCGATCGTCCTGCATCAGCTTCATGTGGTGAATGCAGAAGAAGAGCACAGAAAGACAGGGAGCAGTCTGACACGACATCTTCACAGAGTTCCAGGTACTGTAGGTACTGTAGGTACTATAGGTACAGCACACAGGAAGAAACACAGGGTGTGAAGGGTCATTACTCTCCCGGGCTAAATGGATGCTGCTGTGCTGCAGAAATTCCTGGTCGCATTTTGCCAAGCACCGATTTGGCCATCACGGTTTGTAGTCTCTACAGTCAAGTCTATCATTAGCAACCGCCCCTTGGCGCAACCAAACGCGGTCTATTACAGCAGGTGATCTCTTGCGAAAGATGCAATACAAACTTGGTATGACCGGTTCGTGCCTACTTCAGAGGTCGCTACATTTGTAATGGCAGATTTGACTGCATAACTACATAATTATTAAAATAATAATGTAGTTGTACAGTCAAATCTGCCATTAGATTACTTCCAGTATAGAAACTTCATTTCTCAACTCCAAACTCCAAAATGGTCTCTTCACTGCGATTAAAATTTGCATCACACCAAATTTTTGGGCCTGGCCCATCATCAGGATAATTGTAGTCTGAGATAATCAGTTTTTTTTTCTTTTCTAAATCGCCTCCAGCCATGCATGCTGTCAAGTGTTGTTATGTACTGTACAAGGCAATGTATTTCCCCTCTTACCCTTCCGTGCTCATCTCTCCTCCGCAACTTGATAACCCTGTCGAGTATGGAGACCCCTCAACAGGCGAGATGCCTTTGGAAAATTTTAAACTTTCTGAAACTTTCAATGTTGTCACGTACAGAATAAGTTCAGAACAGATTGCCATGCTGCGGGTTCAGCTTGAGAAGGAACGCCGCAAGACAGCAGCACAGGCGAAGTGCATTGCCAAGATGGAGGTAGGCGATGCTCTCAATTCGCAAACGGTTTGCGCACATGGGTAGCGTTCCTTCAGCATGTATTGAGTCTAGTATTAAGTGGACGAGTGATGGATTGTTGGTGATTCGTGCGGCAGGACTGAGTGTGCCATTCCCAACTGGTTACTCACGCAAACTAGAACAGCACAGTGTGATAATCTAAACTGTGTCACGTACCGCAGGGCAGCATGATGCACCTTCAAAGGCATAGCAACCAACCCTTGGTTAGCAACCAACCCTTGGTTAGCAACCAATCCTTGGTTAGCGACCAACCCTTGGTTAGCAACCAACCCTTGGTTAGCAACCAATCCTTGGTTAGCGACCAACCCTTGGTTAGCAACCAACCCTTTGTTAGCGACCAACCCTTGGTTAGAAACCAACCCTTGGTTAGCGACCAATCCTTGGTTAGCAACCAACCCTTTGTTAGCAACCAACCCTTTGTTAGCGACCAACCCTTGGTTGCAAGTTGGCGAACAATTCTAGTGAGTTTACCAGCAGAGAGAGAGAGAGAGAGGGGGGGGGGGGGGGAGAGAGTAAGAGTGAGGTAGTGGGTGCATATGATGTAGAATCACTTCCTCACACACTACTGACTACTGTTGCCAGGTTGGAAACAGGCAGGGGGGGGGGGGTATCATCAGCATCCTATTTTCAGAATACCAACCAGCTGTTCAAGACTCTTCCGAACAAAGTCATCATCAGTCTGTAATATGATGATACTGATATCTATGAGAATATCCCATTCTCAATAAAACGGTGAACGGGGTACCATTCGGCTGTTCAATAATGCAACGATCCCTCCTCCTCTTCTCCTCCATGTGCTCAGTCTAAGCCGACCGTTGCTACTACATGTACATTGCCACTGCAATGGTCGGCTGAGAGCGCATGGAGGAGGCGAGGAGGAGAGATTGTTATTATATACTGTAAAAGCAGAAATTTTCGGTGGTGTAATATTTTCGGTATTCTCCAAAATCGGCCTGGTCGGTGGAGGGAAATTTTCGGTAAACCCGTTTTCCAGGTAAGTGTACTAGTATACTGTAGTACTGACATTTTCGGAGCGTTACGTTTTTGGTAAAAATTTCAGAACCGAAGTTACCGACAATAAAACACCACCGAAAATGTCTGCTGTTACAATAATTATCCCATCCTAATACCAAGAGTACATGAAAACCAGAGTGTGCAGCTCGGATGGGTTGCTGTCACGGCGGAATTCCGTGATTACATCATTTTAGTGATGTAGTGCGTACAAGCAGGATTCAAGCGGGTCTCTTTCTGCACAACTGCAGCTCAGTTGTACGCACTACGCCATTTCCCGCCTCAGACCTGCGCCAAATATGATGTAATCACGGAATTCCGCCGTGACAGACACCCATAGCAGAAAAGGCCCCAAGCTGCACACTCTGGTTTTCATGTACTCTTGCTAATACATGTAACTTGTTTCCTGTGTTATTCGGCTAGGCAATGCACCAGGAAACGGACACTCGGCATGAGTTGTCGAAAGATCGCTGTGCACAGTTGGAAGCTTGCAATGGCGAACTGCAGTCGCAGCTGCATGCTGCTCGTCAGGAGATGAAGTGTCTCCAGGACCGACTGCAGGAGAAGCAGGGTCGCGTACCTGCAAATGCCAGTAGGTGTTAGTAGACATCAGGAGCCGCACTAACTGTACACGTTGCCATATATAACACTGATGCTGGTACTCAATGCTGCTCTCCATCACTAGATTCACTACACGTCATGTAGTGGGCGAACTGTGTTACAGTGCCAAGTATTTGAACTGGAATCTGAATTGGAGTTTGAGTAGTAAAATACCTACTTACTTCAAAGTACTCCCTGGTGAGACTATGCTGGAAAATGTTTGCAACTGTGTACGAGCTCATCCATGGCAGCTGCCCTGGATACAACCCTGCTATACTCAGTGTTACATGTGTGGGCATGCATGGTGTGTTGTATTCGCACAGGAGCACTGCAGCAACTTGCCAAAGTCACACGACAAAGAGACCAGCTATTGCACGAAAGAGATAGATTGAAAGGTGAGATGAAGGCTAGTGGTGTGGGTCGGCGGACTTATTGGCGTTGGTTGGGAGTTGCGGTTGTTTTGCCAACTTGCCATTTCCCTATACTATCAAGTATCATGCCGGCGGTGTGGAGTAGATTACAGGACTGTAGTGGTGAGTGGTGGTCGCAGGAATCATCTGTAGCTTTGCAACATCGCATCATTTACTAGTACATTGGACAGACGTAGTATGTACAGGACATCCGCATCGTTTGATGCAGATCCATGCGCAACTCTACGAAACTTTAGCCCTGAACCCGTACTCAGTTTCTGAACATCAGACTGCCTGCACTAGTTCACTAGGTACGTGTACTTTGAAAGTGCCTACAGTCTACAGAACTAGTGCAGGCTCCTCTCTGAACACTTGGACTCGGTATCGGTTTTCAACTTTTCAGCTTCGCTGCCAGCTTGTGTCTTCTTGTGTCCTATCTGTACTTTGCAGTATTAGCAACAACTGTATGCTTGATACTGATATGCTGATATGCTGCTTCTTCATGTTGTTGTGTGGCTGTGATCCGGTGTTGAATGTACAACAATGTGGCCGTGTAGCTGAGCTATCCGTCATTGACAAGGTGAGCGACTGTTTGTGCCTTCGCAGGCATACGAGTGCCCGAGTGCGCAACACGGTACAAATACGCAATTTTTATGCTTGCTCGCTGGATGAAGCTGGCCGGCCACCTACAATGTGGCCACCGCGAGATGTATGTATGCATGTGTGTGGCGATAGAGAGTCAGGGGTCTTGAAAGTTGGAACTGCGGCAAAGGCAAAACAAAATGATCAGTGCACCCTGGATCTATGCAGGTAGGTTTTCGAATACAACCCCGCTTGTACAATAGATTTCTTTGTCTGATCACGCAGGATCACGCAGGATCACACAGGATCACACAGGATCACACAGGATCACACAGGGCTCGATACTCGGCGAGCAGAGCTTCCTAGCCCAGGGGGCAGAACAAGAAGTTTCCGCTGCAAGTCGCAAAAAGCGATCCACGAGCAAGAATTCTAACAAAACAATACCGGTACAGAGGACCCTGTGTAACTCAGTATAGTATCACTATGCATTCACAGTGCAGCAGTAGGTTCAGGACAAGATGCAGAGTAGGTTTGGTGGCATTAGACAAAGGTGCATATTTCGAAGTTTAACGCAACTGTTGCAAACACCTGCACTCATTGCAGCACTACTGATTCCCCAGTGCAACTAGAGATGATGAAGGTGCTGGTAGCGGACCTACAGTGGGGTGTATGAAGTCCCGACAATGGAGACTCTCTCTCTATATATCTCTCTTTCTCTCTCTGAGCACTCTCTGCAGCTCGGGGATCAACGGATTTTGTCTCTCTTTCTCTCTCTCTCTATATATATATCTCTCTCTTTCTCTCTCTCTCTCTCTCTCTCTCTCTCTCTCTCTCTCTCTCTCTCTCTCTCTCTCTCTCTCTCTCGCTCACTCGCTCTCTCTCTCTCTCGCTCTCTCTCTCTCTCGCTCTCTCTCTCGCTCTCTCTCTCTCTCGCTCTCTCTCTCTCGCTCGCTCGCTCGCTCTCTCTCTATCCCTTCCTCCCTCCCTCCCTCCCTCTCTCTCTCTCTCTCTCTCTCTCTCTCTCTCTCTCTCTCTCTCTCTCTCTCTCTCTCTTCTCTTCTCTTCTCTTTCTCTCTTTCTTGCTCCCCGCAGGACTTCTTCCGCGAGATCGAGGACATGAAAATCTCTCTGCAGCAGGCCGTGCGTCTCAACCAGTCATACGAGCGAGCGCTGCGACAGGTCTGCCAGAAGTATCGATTGCCGTTTCCGGTGGACATTTCAGCCCATGTGATATAAACACTACTATGTACTAATATGTACATCGTGCCTGTACATGATTGCACTGCAGTAAGTCAACATACAATGTATCCAGGACGATGTCATGCAATGTATTTTTTAACCCTTTATGGGTCTCACATAAGCGTAAGGGTCGTATGTGACCCTTACAGTAAAATCGCATTTTCTGTGAGTATCGTTGCTAGGAGACAACTAAAATGGTGCTCCACGCGTAGCTGAGGTCCAAGGCTTTCCAACGGTGTAAAAAACAACCATACTTACCATACAAATTTTTGCAGTATCGATCGACTGAAGTCTGGTGAAATTGGAAAAGACGACCATCCGCCATGCGCGCATTTCGAGAATGGGAGTGCATCTCTTGAGGCCGTGTCAGAAACGCTTCCTGGGGACACTGACGGCACCAGTCTAGGCTGGTTGTCCCTGGAGGATTTCCAGCGTAATGTGGTGAGAAAGAGAGCTCCGTTGAGTTCTCCTAGCTCAAATAAATCGTCCCCGAATGAAGAAATCAAATTTACCAACCAGCGAGGAAGCACAGCAACAGCAACTCTTACAAGGCCTTGTCAGTTTTTCGATTTTGACAGCATGTTACAAGGCGAGGACGCGTAGTGCTCCGGAGAGCCCAAACCCCCTGGGGGGACGCACAATTAATTAACTACGAGTGAACCCAAGACGGTCCAGCGCAACAGCCGAGGTAAGCAATGCTGACTTCCGACATTTGATCCCCAAAAACCGGTGTACCTCACCTGAACAACATACTGGAAGCTGCACTGAACTTATGTTTCCATGTTACCAATTGCAACATTCCACAAATCATTCATAATTGAAGGAAAAGTAACCCTGAAGCTGATTCAAGAAATATAACTCTGTTTTATTTGTGGAATTCATGAGGTCCGTGAACAAGACTATTAGTATTACCAAGACCAACAGCAACAACGAGAACAACACTAAGGAGAACAACAACAACAACAACAACAACAACAACAACAATCAACGACAATTACAACGACAACAACTATTACAACAACATCAACGTCCATCAACACCCAGACCACAACACCAACGTGCAGACGGGGTGTTCCGACGTGGTGAAGGCCTACCCATGGCCTCGTCGGGACATCACCAACCTCGTCGGCAGCGAGCACCTTCTCACAACAGTCGTCATGGTGATGACTATGACTGTTACAGCTGACGAGCTGAGAGAAGGACGCCATGGGCAGAAGTTGAAAAAAGACAAGAAAAAAGAAAAAGAACAAAAGAACAAAAAAAGAAAAAAGAAATAAATCACAAATAATTTAATTACAGAGGAAGACAAGAAAATAACATCACAAATCCTTCCAGACGTGATCCCTGCAGCGGCAGCAACGTGAACAATACTATACTACGGCGGCAACACGACGACTTCTACAACACAAAAAAACGAAAATTATAAAAATCCTACCAACCCGTAGAGTAACGAGGGTCCGAACCTGGGTTTTCCCAATACGGTTCAAATGGTCGCAAGACCGGGACTCTGCCAACCGGTTTATGGTTGTAGTCAGGAGCACTACGCGTCCTCGCCTTGTAACATGCTGTCAAAATCGAAAAACATGTTAACTACCAAGCAAGGCTTCTGTATATACCAAGGCCTTGTCAGGTGCGATCAGCTGATTCGCCTGGCCGTGAGAATCACGGCATGCGTGACATCGCGCCTGAGTACTCATCTGAGCGGGAGCGAATCTGACGCGAGCAGCGCTGAGGTGAACGAACCAAATTTGTGATATTGTGGAACTTTTGCTGCTGGTGCCTCGCCGATGGCGAGGTGTTGGAGTTCAAGGACGGAATTAGCAGCATATATTCTTCACCAAGACGTAGCGCTTACCTGATTGTTTATCATAGGACTTCAGCTCCATCACGAACTTGGTATGCACTTCGTGCTGTGATTTTTGTGTTTTTTGTTCGCAATTGTATTTTCTCTCAACTTGAAGGGCTACCACGGGTCATACCCTTGCCTGGACATAGTCATATTTGTGTTTTCTGGACTCGTCCAGGCATACAGATTTTGAAAATATATAGTTTACCCATACCTACAACTTACAGAACTTGAGTTATGGCTGGTTGTTTGTACGCGTGTTTGCGTGACCACCCCTCACATACATTGAGTAAGACCCACAAAGGGTTAAGTAAAAATGATATCATTCACATAGTTGCTGTATATTATCACTAGTTCCAGCATACATACATGTACAGCCATACTGACATGATCACGCCAGTATTACATAATCATTATTAATTTTATCTGGTGATTTAGTTCAGTCCTCCCACCACGTGCACTCTCCAGGGGACCTTGTTCGAGCCGGAAAGTGTATGTGGTGGGGAGTTTGCCAAAAAGGTTGAAAGCTGCTGCCCCCCCCCCCCCCAGTTATTTATCTGGCCACTGAGCTTGTATACGAAGAACATTCAAATCCCGTTACAAGCACTGGTGCTAGTATTTGTTCTCAACACTTAGTGATTATGCCACTTGGCAGCAATCTGCAACAGACTGCTTGTACTTTTTGTAGAAAAATAATTTTATTATTTAATTTACTGTTGTTTGCTGGTGGCCCCAAGTGACCGCCACCATACATGTGGTGTCAGTTGATTGTCAGTGAGTCCGTAGAACTTGGTCAGCACTGTATGCCTTGTTCTATGGTTATGCAAGGTGCAATTTCACACCCACAGCGAAGACCACAAAGGATTTTGGATCACAAAGGTCTCCGGGTAAAGACTGTAGCTGCATCATAATGTAGAGCCATGTAATCATTTCAGTCCCGACAAGAGAGCCCTAGCCCTCGGGCTCACTTGTCGGGCACTAAAGAGTAAAAATCCATTACTAGTATTGTCCTTCCAACCATGTCATAATATATTAGTATACATAATGTGAACTGGAAATCTCCGCTCTTCATACGGACCTATACCAGCAAGTCTTAGATAAGCTGCAAAGCTGTTTTCCGTGGAGCGCATGCCCGTCCTGACGCCCCCCCCCCCCCCCCCCAGGGCCATACACACACACAGAACAGAGGAAGACATACATTTCGTTATGGGGAAAGAAAAACTCAAGTACGAGTACCGCGATGAAGAGAAAGAGCTCTGGTATCGGCACACAGGTTTCATCGTTTTCTGGTTGAAAATAATTTAGAATGTGGATTTGCTCAAAACAGAAGATTTTAGAGACTATCCCAAAGAGATGGTCAAGCACGGACTGCAGAAACGGATCAGCGGAAGCGTTGTGAAAAGAATAAAAACAAATGCAAATTGTCAAGGTACCCGCCCATTGTATGCAGAAAGAAAAGCTGGATCTCACAACATGGTGGACAAGCTGTGAAAGGTCCGAAAAGCCAAGAATAATCTCGAGTAGGCTCATGGACAGTCGTGTGAAGTAAATTCAAGAAGTGTGTCAATGAGCCTGCCATGAGAGCTAAGGATATAAAGCGGGCCGGTTTCATGAGGACAGAACATGGCCATAAAGATAAAGACTTCGTCTAAGATAAAAGTAAAGTTCAATGTGCTTGGGAGAAACAGAGAGTTGAGAGCTACAGTGGCAAGTTCCAGGAGAGACTCTTAGCTACGACGGACAGAAGTTGACGGAAACAAAGAGAGAGAGAGAGAGAGAGAGAGAGAGAGAGAGAGAGAGTACCGTTGGTACATCACACAGACAGTGCCTATCTGGTTACACAAGGTAGGACTCGGAAGGGCCGCTGTTACACCGCACTGGCCGAGTCAACAGCGCCCTTGACTCGTACCACTGCACACGGGTGCACCACAGCACCGCCAGCACAGCAGCACTGGAACGGTGCAGTATTATTACGACTACGCTCCTAGCGGAACAAACACTATACACTAGGTGCGTGCACTACAAGACAATGCGCCTTGCGCGCAAGAGTAGAAAGGGAGAGACAGAGAGAGACAGAGGGTCCCTGGAAGTGTGAACTCAACAAAAGAGAACGACGGGCTAGATACGGGACACGACAGCACGTTACGGCACCAGAGAAACGAGGGCAGGCGACACACACCCACACAGACACACGCACACACTAAACGAGGACACTATGACACTTATCCTAAACACAGTGGAGCCATACCAACAGCACGACTAGAGCAACACCTAGAACTAGCGCCATGACTACTGCACTCAGCTACGACAACGGGTGGGTTACAGGTTAAGGCACACAGCTCTTCCAAAATGCACACCTCAGGACCACATCTCCCCGCAGATGGTCAGCATTCCGCCGATGAGAGGCTGCCGGACATCGTCCCTCCTCCTTCCTCCTCAAACGTCATCAGCAGCTCAGGTGCCTTCTGCAAATCATACACACAAGGCACGGCAAACACACACACAATTTCATAGCTAAGAAACATGACAACTGCGGATGTTCGCGTAGGGTGTTAATCAGCACATTCCTGACCCAAGCTCGCACTCGCGTGCACTGCTCGTAAATTTCACGTTCGGCAATGAGCAAGGGCGCTATGTACCTGTATAAGTTACAACAGGAGACACTGTGGTTATAGCAAGAGAGTGCTGGAGTGTCAGTCAAATTGGACGCATAGTGATGAAATGCCTGCCATACGCTCATGCGTACACTGGGAGCTTACCTCTGGCATAAGCGGCTTCATAGCCGAGTGTAGTTGTTTGAGCCATTCTTCAGCCTCCTCTGGTGTTGGCGCTTTGAACAAGTAGACCTTGGCTGGGGACATGGAAAAAACAAACGTTTAAACAAATCAGTAAGGGACTTTACAGAGAAGAGAAGAGAGAGAGAGAGAGAGAGAGAGAGAGAGAGAGAGAGAGAGAGAGAGAGCATCCATCAAAAACAAATTCCTTGGTGAGAGTTTCTGCCTTTCAGTGCACAGCCGAATAAAGCAGCAGCAGCAGCACCGCCACTACAATAAGAGACGATTTACACAACGCGACTGGCTGATGCCAGGAAGACAAGTAGATGATTCCGCGAGCATTCCAGTAGATGGGAAAAACGACAACATGATTCACATGGCATCCCAGCAGAACAAACATTTTTAAAACACATTTCTGCTTTTCCCACTATTTGTGTGTGCGTGCGCGCGCGCGCGCGCGCGCGCGTGTGTGTGTGTGTGGTGTGCACAATGACAAGTCTCCCAGGGCATGTTCGATTGGTAGGATAGGGATCCAGATCCAGATCTCAGATCCGTCGGATCCTTCCAGAGTCAACTGAACACTTTATTTTGGGCCTTGGCTGTTGCCATGTTGACGAAGTAATAAAATGGCGCTCACAGGTCACCCAAAAGGGTGAAAGTCATACTTATCGCGCACGTCGCACGAAAGTCAACAAGATGTATCTCGAACCACGCGTGTGCGCACCACAATTAGTGGTGAAACGAATATCAAAACCCAGTAGCCGAATATTCTTTGGCTTAACGAACGAACGAACGAATATTCTTTCGTTAACACAGATGACATCACACGCCCTCCTCTCAGTCATTTTATTGGATATTGTCACTATTATTAGGCATGACAAACGAAGGCGCATATTTTCCATCATTTCTAGGTCAATTTTCACAAAATCCCCAGCTGAAGTGCACGTTACACGCTAAAAACCCCAGCTTGAGACGTGATTTTCGTTCAACTGCCTTAACTCCATTCCAGGACCTCGGATCGCGTTCGGGTTGCTTCGAGACGACAGCTGAGGGTTTTCTAATGCCGATAGACCTTTCGATGAAGTGATTCGGTCAAGTATTCGCGAAGTTACGGAAGTTTGAAGTCGCCCGGTAAAACTCTGCATACCGGGTTAACGAATATTCGCCATGAGAAATATTCGTTCGAATCTGACAAACCGAACGAATATTCGAATATTCGGTATATTCGTTTCACCACTAACCACAATGTGTACAAAACTGATTTTTACCCACCGTATACGCACAAAGGTCACACTTGGATCCGTTGGATCTGGTCAGCCCTGCTCCCCGAGGTGGGTTGACCGGATCCAAATCTGAAGGATTCGGATTCGACCAATCGAAAGGGTGCGAATCCAGTGGATCTGGTGGATCGGGATTCCGATCCTACCAATCGAACATGCCCCCAGACTCCAAGAATACGGTAAGCAACGGTGAAGGGCCCAGGAATCTCTCAGCATACCATTCCCCCCCCCCCCCAGCCAGATCACTGACACTGGAAAACACCAGTATAGCCCAGACCAGACCATACGTTGCCGCCGAAGTTTGACCTCCCAGGACTATAATAGCCATGGTAGCACACACAGGATAGATTATGCCATGGTGAAAATAGCCCCGAACAGACAAACTACCTACAGCTCTTCTTGTGCAGCAACTGGAACTTGCAGGGTCGATCAAGCAGTACATTGTCAGCTACCAAGCAGTCAGCCAGATCAAATACTTGAAATGGCACAGCCTGCAGTGAACACAAAGCGTAATGCCGTATTGAAAATCCCAGCACGAGCGGTACAGCAGTACACAGAAACAGAAGAAACAGGATCCAAAGTTTCAATGAAAAGCCACACCAGCCAGAGCCATGTCATGATACACAACAGAATACCTGAAAAGCATGGGAGTACAGAGGAAATGCATAACAAGGTTATGAACAAGCGAACAAACACGTGGTTGGGAATTTTTGACCAAGCGGATGTTTCTGCTTACACAGCAACACACACTTGCCACATACACCCAGCCAATGAAGAAAGCACCGTCGGCCCATTGTGATTAGCCGGCCAAACCAGCAAACCGTTCTTCAGCCCAAGAAGGAAAACGCCCCCTTAAACACCCCAAACTCAATGATGAGGCCAGTCAAGCCAGCATTAACTACACACATATAACATGCTGCCACAGAGCAACACGGCCACTCACCCGTCCTTTCTGCCTCTTCGGGCCCTTGGCGTAGAAAGCCAGCATGAGGCCGCAGATGGCCATGTAGCTCTGCTTCCAACGCTGAACCTACGGCAGACAGGGCAGACAGGACAGACAGGGCAGGAAAAAACAGGATACTAGTACTCATCACACCACTTAGCATGCATCATCTGCTTGGTTCTCGCACGAGCGCGCGTACACGTGTGTGTGTGTGTGTGTGTAATCCACGCCAAGCCGGTCGCGTCGGCCTCCCCGCCTTACGTTTGGTTGCCCTACAATCAATCCAATAGTTACACAACAATTGCATAGACTCTGAAACTCAGCAGTTGCAAACAATAGTCCTCTCTCACTCTGTGCTGCATACCGGGTGTTGTATCCTTTGCAGGTCCAAGACCCTGGCAAGACGCATATTCGCGATACGCCATCAGAGCATCCACTATGACAATGCCATCGTTCGTACAAATAAAAACCGTGCATACCGTGCGGCTCGGGAAAATCAGTGCTTACCCGCGGGAGAGAATGCTTGCGCCTGTACGACTTCCGCTTCAGCATGCCTGGGCATTTGGCACAAACATAGGAACAACAGCGGATGCACAGCGTTAGGTAGAGCAGCAGCAGCAGCACCAGGATAACACTAGCAGGAATGTGCACTAGTATAGGGAACTGGGCAGAGTAGTAGCATATGAACTGCTGGATTTGACTGATATAGAACTGAAAGAATCGGACAATTCGGACCCAAGTAAGCCGACTCTTCAATGAAAAAATTGAACAATGGAAAGTTGGAAACATATATTTGCAGAAATTTGTAGGCAAGTTTTCTACTTTCCCTACCTGTCATTGTTGCATCTAACAAGTCAACGCTGAGTTCGACTGGCGGTGAGTCGCCTTCACAATCTGACCTGCTAGCCAAGTAGCAGCAGCAGCAGCAGCAGCAGCAGCAGCAGCAGCAGCAGCAGCAGCAGCAGCAGCAGCAGCAGCAGCAGCAGTGGGAACAACAGAGAGAAACAGCAACGTGTGAACACCCTGCATGACACAACGTGTCCTATTGGTACATGTACAAGTAATATACTACACCAACAGCAGTTGAAGGACATGAAGCCAGGTCCTGCCGTGTCCACAAGCCCACAACAATATTCCAAGACCTGGGCAGTGGTATATCTGTGTATGTCTCTACCGACAAAACCTTCAGAAGGTGTACGCGCCCTTTGGGTATCGTCATGCCCAATAGGATGAGCAGAACCGAACAAACAAGCTGTCCACTACGTGTCGTGCAGACTTCGTCGCCAAGAAGAAATCTAGCTTTAATAGCCAACATACATTCACAACACCTGCAGACTGGTGCAGGAAAAAGTTGGTTCTGCACTCAGCATGAAAACCCTGTACATAACTTTAGTACAGGCCCACTTGCGTGTGTGCACGTATGTGCGTGCGTGTGTGCGTGTCATACGGACACACTTGATAAAAAATATTGATTGGTCTGGATGCTCATCCTGTGCATCTGCTCGCTAACGAGAAGTTACTACTCAAAGAGGCTGGCTGTAGACCAAGCATACGGGATTCGGTTCAAAATAGTGTACAGTCGTCCCTCTCTAATCCGGCACTTGTTTATCCGGAACCCTTGCCAACCGGCGCACTTTCTGACGAAACCGATTTTTTTCGTTCAATTCCTACATCTTAATCCGGCACTTGAATTCCGCCTCCGGCAGTGACTTTTTGAAACGAATCGCTCAAACTGCACGTAGTTTGATTTCATAATCCGGCAGTCTTAAATCGCGTACCGTACATGTGCACTCCTTGCCAGGCCAGGCTAGGCCAGTCTGGTCAATGTTGTCCAGGAGACAACGGCTAAGCAGTCAACCATACTTTCTTATTTTAGCAAGGAGTAGTGTCCTGCCAATTTTCAGGTGTGTGTGTGTGCATGTGTGTGCAAGAGTACATGTGAACATGTTCTCTGTTTTACTTTATCACTTTATCACTGTGTATATTCCTGGAGAAAAGTTGAGAATATAAAGCCGTGCACCAAATACTTGGGTCGACACGGAAAAACCCTGCGTTTTGACGTATGATACATGCATGCAATTGGGTAGGGCCGGGTCAGAGGGCAGGATTTCTTAATCCAGCACCCTCGTTAATCCAGCAGAAAACGCCGTAGCAAAAGGTGCCGGATTAGAGAGGGACGACTGTACACCTGTACAGAGTCTCAGTGTATAGGAACAGTAGCAGCAATCAAAAATAATTTTAAAGTGCGAAAGCGATCGACACTCACGAATTCGAGTCCTCGAGGAGATTTTCCGACTCAGCTCCGGAGTCCGAGTCAGCACCATGCACATGAACATCAATACCGACCACTGGCTCCACGCACACTGATGGGCGTATGGGCGACAGCTTGCAGATGCCAGAGTCACCGGTGGACGACGACGTGGAACCAGTGCCGGGGATCAGACTGTCGTCGATCAGGTGCCGCGGGCCCGGCTTCGCCTCGGTGTCCATTACACTGCAGAGGAACAAGAAGGGCAATAGCAAAATATCACATGTAAAGTACAAATATCACATGTAAAGTACAAATTATTGAAATATCACATGTAAAGCACACGTAATGTCAGTTGTTTCAGTTTAGCACCTGTTTCAACATCCATTACTCCCGGTCGCTTCGGATACAAAGCACAAATCAGAGTATGCTATTCTATCTGTCGAAACGCTCCTTCAAACGAACATTCGATGACATGTCCTGACATTGTGCCATAGACAACATGCCCCACACAGGGTCTGCAAGTGTGAGTGACATGCTTACAGACAGTCTCTTGACAGGTCTCAGCATGGCTTGCACAGGCGGCTACCCAAAATGAAAACAACAGCATCCTGCCAATAGAAAACTCTCCTAGGGAACCCCATCTTCACCAGCAAAACAACATCAATCAGTGCAAAGTACCTCAATCCCTTCATGCCATCACGCACCAGCCTGCAGGAAGAAGGAATCACACACAAAGAGAGAGAGAGAGAGAGAGAGAGAGAGAGAGAGAGAGAGAGAGAGAGAGAGAGAGAGAGAGAGAGAGAAGACATACAATTGAACCGTGTCGGCACACTGCAGACAATCCTCAATGACCTGGGCTGCGGACCACCGTGCTGTCAGCACACCAACGGCCATCCAGCTGTGGGCAACAACAGTCAACACACTACACCAGCAAGAGTCCAAAGCTGCAGCACATTTCACGCGTGATATGTTGGCAAGTCTCATCTTATATCGGAAAGTCAAGCTCAAGCAGAGAGACAGCCTGGTCGTTTCACGCCCCGTAGCACATATCTATGCTGAAACTCACTGCCCAAAGAACAACATAGCATGCAAATCGAGTACACAAGCAGTAGAAAGAATGCTTATCAACGGGTTCAGAACTAAATGGGGGCTCAGAGAAGGGAGATTGTGACAGAGGATGATTGACCACCAGTCACTTGAAGCAGATCTTACTTGTGATCAAAGCTGTGAGCTCGTCGATGACCAAGCAGTTTCATAGATACGTGTGATGACGGATAGGGTGCCGTAGGGGTCCCTGTCATGGACCGAGAACCAGCCGAGTCTCCACCAAGTGCCGTGGGAACTGAGAACGCACAGTGGAGAAAGATAGGGAGAGAGAGAGAGAGAGAGAGAGATTTAGCCCAACCACAATGCAGTCCACGGATCACAGGCTTAACCGGTTGAGTTGGACTGCGACCAGGTAGTTTTCAAACACAAGCCTCTAAAGTCCTGCCTACAGTTCATTCATAAAAAAGATGGGCCCTGGCTCTGGCGAGCTCCCGTATTTGGCGATTTTTCGTGATTTCATCGTACACAGTGCAGTGCTGCGAACTTTGAAATTTGAAAAAGGGTCCTAAAAGGTACCCGAATTGGGGTTCGAACCGCACAATGCACTGTTGCAGGCGGGGTCAAACGGCCTGGATTTTGATGGTTTTTCCCGATTCAGTACTTTTGGGGTAAAACCTGGCCAAACTCCTATTCTTGCTATGGCTTGCTTTTTGGACAAAAAAACTTCAGAAACATAATTGGAAGAGGATTCCATAGGGGATGGCGGAAAAAAATTCTAAAAAACTCAAAGTTTGACCCATTTATGGCCAAAAGCTAGAAGTCCATCTTTTTCTGAATGGACTGTAGGTTGGACACAGCAGTCTGCACCCGTTCAATGACCAGCTGGGCAAGAATTCTGGATACTACCATGGACTGTAGTCACAAACATTCGCTACCACCTCAGTGCATACCTGATTGGCCCCGTCCGACGAGCAAGGACGGCTGCATCGTGCCAATGCTCTTGCGCTCCTGCCGTACGTTGGGCGATGCCATTTGCACGGACATTGATGATGGCAGAGTTAGGCGACGACTGGCCGTGGGAGATGGTGGTAAACTGCATGTGGACTGCGGTGCCACGTCGGGTTCGATGTTCACTGATGTCCTGGTAACACGCACATACACACAGCATGGGAGCACAAAGCAAGCTACATCAAAGACAATCCATGCACAGGATACCAGCGAGAACATTTCCACAAGCGAAGGCCAATCTCAGACTACAGTGGAAAGGATCTACAAGCAGCAGAGAGCGTACTTAGACAAACAACGCCCACTGTACACCTACCGAAACAGATTGTCCTCCATGAACTTGGTGAACTCGTGAAGGTACTGCACAGACACAAGGTAATCCAGTACCGGCTTCATTGATTCAAGGCCAGCTGCAACGGCAAACAAAGTAAAGCACAAAAAGTGGAGAGAAAAACAGAGCCGGTGATGGCAATTTGGCTGAAAACTGTGAAAAGTGAAGAAAAACTGTATGATCGGAACGGAAAGGATGATTGCAAGGCTACAGGGAAAGAGGAGGTCTGTTCTAAAGAGTTGTCCTTATACTGTATACCACAGGGATGAATTTACCGTCATGTTTTTGCATAGCAGTTTTCGCTATGCAAAATCTCAATTGTGGCGTAAGCTACAAAAAGCATGGATAGCCTGTACATGTATGTATCGCAGTTTTCTGCGTGTCACTGTGATTTTTGTGTAGCAGTAGATCGATTTTGCGTAGCAAACTGCGATGCGATACCGGATAAATTCATCCCTGTACCAGCAGGCAGACAATCCGTGATCAGCAACAGTGCATGACACTGGTGTTCTCAGCGATTTGAAGTGTCTTTCGGACAACCATGCACACACACTCTTTCAAAGCACTGGTGCTCACAACAATTTGAAGTGTGTTTTGGACAACCATGCACACACAAGCACTCTTTCAAAGCGCTGGTTTCATGATCATGGTAAGGACACACCGGAGCAGGGAGCCCACAGTGCACGGCTGTTTTTTTGTGCGATTTCACGCCACTTACCAATATGGCCGCCGAAAGTCTCGATTGGGCTTCAATGGCAAGAAAATTTGAATTTTCAAATCGTCAGAACACGAGTAGGCCATGGTTTCCACTGGATTTTGGAGACTAGTCAGCCCGGACAGCCCGGGGAACACGCTGATCATCTGCGTCTTGTTTCAAGCTTTCCGCTCGTACCTCACATGACTACCTTTCCTTCAAGAAAAATTTGTTCTGTGTCGTGCGACTTGGGCTTCGTTCTGGAATACTCCTTGTGTCGTCGCTGACAAACTCGGCTCTGAGAAGCCCTTCCCGATATTTTCCCAGCTTAGATCGATTTTTTCCCAGGTAGAGGACTATCCTCTGGTTGTCTTCCCCAAGTGTCATTAGAATACGCGCGTGAACTTCTAAATACGCGCGACGAGTCAGGAGCCTGTTTTCTCTTGATTTGGAAGACAAAATGGTGTGGCCCTTTAGTTGCTGTTGAGTGTAGAAGGCTGCTTCCTGCTGTAAATTGCTTAGTCGGTATGTGGGATATTGTAGAAGAAGACAGCAGCCGGCCAAGTGAGCTTGAAATTGTGATATCTACCCTATTGTGCGTTGAACGATTACGAAATGTCTAACTTGAATGTTGTACACGCGAGCACGCCAAGCAGAGGCTGACAATCACTGGCGAGATCAATCTTCAGACTGCCAGGAGTACTTCGAGCAAGTTTGAAGCGGAAAGACAGCTAACTGGGCAGGCCAGGACGCCTTTCCACCCTCTTTCTCTCTCAAATTGCCGAAAAGTCGAGTATCTCGCTCGAGCGCTTTCAAAACTTTTCTCTTGGTTTCGCGTCCCAAATCGTGGAACCACGCGAGGATCGACATGAGTTTCTTGCAAAAACGCAAACTCATCGCGTATTTGTACTATTCGCACAATGTTACATAAATCGCACCGAACGACGCCATATTGATAAGTGCCTGCACGTGAACAGCCGTGAGTGGGTGCTATGTGGGGTCAACAAAGACAGGACTAGTCTAATGACAATGCGAGGGGGCGCTTTTAACATGCACATGCACCCACACACATGTGCGCCCGGACAATAAACCTCGACTCACGGTAAACGGACATCTGCCACTTTGCAATCTGATCGGTGATAGCCAGCATCTTGGCGGTGAAGTCTCCGTCACAGGAATCCTTCGATACCTTTGCCTTAGCCGACGTCAGGTAAGTGAGATCCGTCAAGAACACGCCAAGATACGGTATACACGGTAGCTTCATATGCTCCATGTGGTGACGCAAGGCTTTCCTAAAAGGGGGCAAGACCGACACAGGGAGCAGACAGATCAACGAAAGGGCTCAGTTACCTTACAACTACGTAGCATGTCATTAAAAAAAGCAAATCTTTTTCGTTCCGTTACACGCCCGATTGGTTGAGAGACTCACCTCCTCTCCCCTGACTCACTTGTGAGGTCTGCATTCGCCACTAAGGTGTAATTAAAGGCATAGTGGTGGCCTGCGGAAGCGAAGGATAGCTTGTGTGTTTCTGAACATTCGGATCAAGTGATGCTAACGCGGATCCCGCGAATATTATTTAAATTATTATTTTATTAAATCTTTTTCGTCAGCGTCTTCACTATGGATATCAAGACATGTAAGACGGGAAACAAGTAATACAGAAATCTGCACCCAAAACATAAGTTCGGTGAGCCATTTTCACATGTTGGTATAGCACACATCAGAATAAGAAGCAGCACACCAGCATGAATCATCACGACTTCAACCGTGAGAACAGAAGCCATGCATACAATGCTGTGCGTGTACCTGTTGTCTTCTTCACTTAGTAACGTTTGAAGACGCTGGTACGTTGTCTTTTCCTTTCTCGCGAGATCCTACAGAAAGACAACATTACCAGAAAGAGACAAAAAGAAGAAGAATTTCATCATGACCTGCACTTCTCAAACATAGCAGTGATATCCCTAACGCAGGACATTCCCTTCTACTTCGAAGTAGCTGACCCAGAACCTTGTTCGCTTATGAAAGAGGCTTTGAAGTGACACCTTGGCATGTGTGTGCACGTATATGTTTGTGTGTGTGTCTGCGCACAGTCCAGTGCTAGCAGCGCGAGGGCTGTACAGCCCATTGCTAGGGTCATACAACCCATTGCTAGGGTCAGACAGCCCAGTGCTAGGGCTGCACAGCCCAGTGCTAGGGCTGCACAGCCCAGTGCTAGGGTCATACAGCCCAGTGCTAGGGTCATACAGCCCTGTGCAAGGACCGCATAGTCCAGTGCTAGCAGCGCCCAGCCAAAACTGACTTAAGACACAGGATGTCAATGAGCAGCACTGTTGTACTAGTACACAAAAGTCTAGATTCAAATTTAGCACGGAACATTCTTTTTTTTTTAAATCGTTTGCAGGCAACCTGCCTACACTCAAGAGAGCACTGCATTTCACACAAATCCATTGGTATCGTTACGTTTCGGTCTTTATGACCATCATCAGGAATGAAGTGGACATGGAAAGAACAGCAGTATAAGAAGGAGGCAAGCAAGCAAAGCGCGGTACATAGTGACAGCGCGCGTAGAGAAGTGCAAAGCACGTCATGGCGGGTGTGCATTACTACATGTACATGACAACACAAGCACAAACGGCGAGGAAAGTAGATACTGCGCTACAGCAGTGATACAAGCTCAGTTCCAGTCTCACACCACCAGTGAGGTGTGTAGAGGCCCGCGTCACTCGCAGTAAATAACAGCTGTATTCAATGCCGGCAAAGCGCACAGGTCAGTACAACAACATCCCATGCATGATGCTAAAGGTAGCTGAGCAAGAAAGATGATTGTAGACCATGGTAGAATGTGGAAGAGCATACTCCATAAAAGGTGGTAGCCAAGGTACGTGAAGGCATGCATTGCTCACACACATGTGCCGAGTGTATCACCCAGAACGCATGCTAGAAGACAATAAGGCCGCACAGGTGGTGTTATAACATTCTTTTGTTTATCAATACCAAGCAAACAGTTCTACTTGTCACGTAGTCTACAAGTTTCTGATGTTTCAGTTTAAAAAATCACATGCACTGCTATGTATGGCAGTGCAGAATGACAGCCCTACCACTCACCGCCCTACCACTCACCGCCCTACCACTCACCGCCCTACCACTCACCGCCCTACCACTCACCGCCCAAGTACGCTTCAGTCGGAAGATCGGTGCACTTTGTAACGCTGAAACGATGGCAACCAGGCTGTTGATGTTATTGAGATCCAGGAGTTTCTGCAATATCACAGGAAGTGGGGACAAGTGGGGACACACAGTGAGTAAAATGTTACGATGCCTCAGACCAGACGTGAAGCATACATCACTGCTCCATACGCACCCATGCTAGGCCGAGCATCATTTGGAATATGCATGTGTACGATGTGGTGTGTTGCGGTGCAGTGCAGTGCGGTGTGTGTGCGCGCGTCTATCTACATTACATAGCCGTAATAACAGATATCTACAGTGCTCTTTCTTCTCTTCACCTCCCCCCCCCCCCCCCCCCCCCTCTCCAGCTCCACTCACTTTTGCCAGGCGAATGAAATAGCCTAAGGCTTCTACTCTCCGCTTGAGCATGGGGTGATCGAGGATCTCCTTCATCACCCAAAAGGATATCTGTGAAAACGAGAGAATAGGAAATGCAGCACATTGTAGAACATGCGTTTAGACAGGTCACACCATACACCAGAGCCTATATTATACTTGAGCCAGCGGTAACCTGTGACAACATGTACATCCACCATGTGTTCACGTGTTCGTTTGCCAGATGCACATCCTTGACACTTTGAAGCACATTGAAACCTGTGTAGAAAGGCCACCCGTGAAGAGAGGCCACCTGCGCAGAAAGGCCACTTGTCATAAAGACTACACTACCTGCATATGGAATAGACCATTTGCGCAAATAATAGTAGGGGGGCCGAAAGGGGGCAAGCGTACGCGTAGGGGGGCGTCAGGTGACCCAGCGCTGCAGCAGCGCTGGGTCAAGCAGACAAAGTACACACTTTCTTGCATGCTGGTTTTGTTTTTTTCGAGTAGACAGAGCTGGTGCACAGTCGAGTCACACGGTCATGGAGGGTGAGGACGGCAGAGTCGGGACGAGTAGTGTCGGAGAGCTGGTAGAAGAGGTTCCTCAGCCTTCTTGGACTATAAAGCAGCTGAGAGATTATCTACGAAAGCAGGGTGGTTTGTTGACAGGACGGAAAGCGGAGCTACTTACGAGGTCGTTCATACGGGGCTTCGTCGACTGATTTTTTTTACCTACACTCACTCACAAACTGCGCGTGACATTTGTTCTACATCCAGGGCGTTATTCTACAAATCCAATCCCGAAGCACCAAGAAGCAAGCGGTCGACCCGTGATGCAGCTCCCGTCACCACGCGCACTCCAGCACCAGTATTTCCTGACTCTGGCTGGACCCAAGACAGATCGAAACTTCCTCGTGTAACAGCATCCACGATCTTGTCGCATTTGCTGCTTACTGGAAAGCAAGTTCGCACCAGTGAGAGCCATGTACTCATCATCAGGAAGCCTCTAGATCGGGGACACGAGCTGTATTTTGGTGGATACAATCACGATGTTAGTGTGTGCTGTGTGGAGGCCGAGATTTTTATCGAAGCCAAGTGCTGGGCAACCCAGAAAAAGTCTACCAAGTACAGCTTGCGACTTGTGTTCACAGATGACGCCAAAAATGATAGTGCTGTGCTGGATTTTGCTGTGTGTGTGAGGGCTGTGTTGCTGGTGGAGATGGTGGGCTCTGCTCTCATGTGTTTGCTGTGTTACTGGTGCTTAGATTTTGGATTTCAGTTTCGGCAGCCTCCGACACGATACTCAAACTCACTCTCACTTTCTCCTCGCCGCGGCTTCTTGGCTTTTGGCTCGACATCGAGCCTCTCTAGTAAAGAATGACGAACAAGTGCAGCACTTCGACGATCCGCAGGAGAGGGTCTCTCGGCTGGTGGTCGCCGAAAAGAGAAAACACTGGGGATGCTTTCCTGCTTCAAACGACGATGCGGCTTCCCAGAAGCTAATGCAGGCAGCCCGGGTAGATCTGGATGGAAGTCTTTTTCCCTGAAATGTTCACTGCAAACAACAGTGCTGGATGAGATCGTGAAATGCGCTCCCTCTTCGCGCTTACATACCTGCACCCATCTCGCCCTTAGGTCGGGATCTTTGGGATACTTATGAAAAGACAGATCTCGTTGATCTGATCGGCGATTCGAGCAGCCAAACACAGAGCAGTGGTCGTGCGATGGCATCGTGAGGCGAAGGATAACTACCGACTGAACTACAACCGAATCATTTCAAAACAAAAACAAGAAACACCGTACCCACGGCCACCGGCACCAACAAGCACACGAAATCTCCGTGCAGTACACCACGTACACACTGTACTTGCACGCTGCACTGTGCAGTGTGCACGGTCCACGCGCGATCTCATGCACGATGGGGCCCCCCTATAGACCATGCCTTGCCCCCTTACGCCCCCCTACTTTATTTTGTCAAATGGTCTATTCCATTCCATTCATAGTCAGTAGGTGCTGTGAACACAGCTTTGCCTATAGTGTGCAATGTTGGCACCATGCACACCGCAGTGTGAGCAGCGCCATAATATTGCAATGTTGCAGAATGCAGCCACAGGTTTGGAACCAAGCAGGGGGCTACACCATTATACTGTAACGGAGACTCCCTCGATTTAGGCTAAGGCCTGTGGAGAATCCATAAATACAAATACAAATACTGTGATTAAATTTGGAAAGGATTGGGAGAACTTCAAATTCAAATGATCAGTCGGGGAAGTGAACAAATGCTGTGGCAAATATTATTTGCCCCGATAAAGCCCACACGTTGTTGATCTGCACTCTCACCTGGTTGAACTGCTGTGTGAAGGCAACAATGTTTGGGGAAACATGGGTTTTCTGCTTCGACGTCCACCGGCCTTCTAGTAACTCCTGCAAAGAGGAAAAGTGCACAAGGCCACAACGGGGAGAGCGACTGATGAATATTAAAAGAAGAAGAGATCAATATTAACACAAACAGAAGAGACTTGACTACATGGCGATATACTAGTACTGCAAAATACAATCATGTAGCTGTACAATAAGCTCTCACGCCCAATTCAACGACCTCATGAGCGCTGTCAAGAGTCCATAATCCCCTAGAGTGCGCAACTGGGATGGGGTTGTGGGACGGCGTAATCCGTGATGCAAGTCATTATTTGGGGCGGACTTGTGTCATTCCGTCGACGCGGAGCACACTTCCCCTACTCATGATGTCACACTATGACGTGCAACACGGATTTCGCCGTCCCAGATCTGATCAGTGAAGTCGCGCACTCTGGGGGACTATGGACTCTTGGCGCTGGGCGTAGGTACATCTAGGAAAATATGCCTGATTTATTGAAGATACAGAAGCAGACCGTCCGCCAGTACTCACAGCTCTGGGAATATCTTGGAAGAGTGGCAAGTCGATCAGGGTGATCTCCGCCTGAACAACAAGAACAAAAAAACAAGAAAAAGAGCTTGCAATGAGGAAACAAAAGCAGCACCGGAAACGGTAGTCACAGCAAGAAGAACACAAGCAGTAGTTACAGCTCCTTGGGCACCCTGCTGTAAGAAGGCCATAGGCCTGCTGGGTATACCCAAGTAAAATAATAAATACTACTACTACATAACCGCAATCAATAAAATTATTGTCTCCTCGCCGTTTGTTTAAACTACTACTACAGCAGATATTTAAAGCTGAGCAGTGTTTTGCGGAAGGTGGAGAGAAAAAAATGACCGTTCGACTGAGCTCGAAGAGCGCATGCGCTCACCTACTACGGCTGTGAATACCCACAACAGAATTTAAAGGAGACTTCGTTCCGACACACATGCACGTGCGCGCGCACACACACACACACACACGCGCGCGCGCGCGCACTACGTACAGCGAGCAGCTCTGGACTCGTTTGCACCAGGTTGAACAAGTTGGAATCAAACGACAGTTTCCGCCGCTTCCTGGCCAGGGAAGGCGATGGTGTGAGAGACTGTGCAAACCAAACACAAAACACGCAAGACACACAAACGAATTGAAAAGACACCGTCAACAAACGGCAAACTAGCAGACGTGTACGCACTGATAGGCAATCATGGTGCAATAATTCCTTGCTTCAGACGGGGAGAAGAAATCCAAAAGTAGCCCCCCACTGTTGTTTTAGTGAAGGAGATTGTAATGTTGGGACACATGGAACACGCAGGTGGGTTGGATGCTGTTGTTTTAGAAGGCTGTTTCCGGTGGCCATGTGCGTTGTCGACAACAGTTGTCCCGGTTGGATATGTTGTCTCGGACGAGTGTGGAGATGCCGTCTATGTTATTAGCTGATAGTAATAGAAATCACTACAATGTAGTGCCATTTTTTGCTGTCTGTTGTTCTGGCCCCACGGTGGCCTGCGGATAGAGGCCATGATGATACAATAATTAGTTCAGCAAAGTACGGAATTCAATGCAGCCTTTCGCATCTAGTTTGAATACTCCTTTGCAAAGCTCAAACCGGACCAACGGCTTGCGCACGAAGGACAATCGTTACCTTGCGCCGATTGCTGGACTTCTCCGGTGCCACGCCAGCTTCATCCTCAAGCGTGTCCAAGGACTTGGAGCGATGCGTATCACTCAGAGAGCAGGGTGACAGCGAGCGACGCGAGTGGCCTGAGCTACTTGAGCCATTCGACTTCCACACGCACAGTTGCACATGCTTCGACGGCGATTCGGAAGGGTCGCGCTTCCGCACCGCCATGGGCGGATTGTAGAAGACCAAAGCGTCAGCCATTACATGGTTGCCTCTCACATACCAGTATGGCTAGTGGCTGCCTCTAGCACAGCAAACCTGAACACCACACCGAGAAAGAAGAAGAAAACAGAAGCAGCCATGTCAAACAACAGCAGCACACGCACGCGTGTGTGTGGGGGGGGGGGGGGGGAGGAGGAGTTCTAGCCAGGAAAAATAATACTTGTAGGGGAGCGGGTGGGGCAGGGGAAACAAACCACTTTTTCTATTGCCTTGCCACACACACAATTAGGGCTCAAACGGTTAGTCCGATTAACCGGTTGCAGACCGGTTACGAAGAATTAACGGTTAAAGGGGAAGTTAAGGCAAAAATTAAAACTTCAATTTCTTCGGGGTGCTGAGTCGAATGGTCTTGGTCCGAGAAAGCTGAGACGCTCCCTTCCTACTTGAATCCCAATCGAACTCGCGCACTTCCACCCAAACTGGGTGACTGCGCCCTACTAGATGGGGATTTGTATGCAAAATATCACTAAAAGCGCCATTTCGTTCTTATAAAAGCACGGATGACCACGATTGGCCCATATGTTGTAGTCTTTTGGACGCTGAGTCGACTGGTTTTGGTCCGAAAAGGTTACGATGCAGCGTTCCTCCTTTATTCCCAATCAAACATGGTTGAAGAAGCGGTCACGTGCTCCTGGGTGGCCAAATCACCTGGTCACCACGCCAGCAGGCGACAACTTTCACACCAAGGTTCAACTCGAGTGATAGGACTGCGCCCAAAAAAGGTCAAACAGGCTAGTAAGTTGTACCCTGCAGGCTCGGTGACCAGGTGACTGGCGTACGCAGGAGCACGTGACCGCTTGTTCAACCATGTTCGATTGGGAATAAAGGAGGAACGCTGCATCGCAGCCTTTTCGGACCAAGACCAGTCGACTCAGCGTCCAAAAGACTACAACATATGGGCCAATCGCGGTCATCCGTGCTTTTATAAGAACGAAATGGCGCTTTTAGTGACATTTTGCATACAAATCCCCATCTAGTAGGGCGCAGTCACCCAGTTTCGGTGGAAGTGCGCGAGTTCGATTGGGATTCAAGTAGGAAGGGAGCGTCTCAGCTTCCTCGGACCACGACCATTCGACTCAGCACCCAGAAGACTACAACTGGTGAAATTTTAATTTTTGCCTTAACTTCCCCTTTAACCGATAAAGATAACGGTTACGCAGTAACTTTTCAGTCAATTTTTCAAGTATCAGGCCGTTGCAAAGTATGCACTTTCGCAGGCTATCGCACGCGTACGCTGTCAACTCGGTCATATCTGGTCTCTTGGTGTGAGAGTATGTATGAATGAGCATGCAAGAGAATGTACATGTGTGCGTTGTACTGAATAGGGTACATTTTTTGAATGAGTATAGTCAAATATACGGTTAAAAAAAGAGTCCGCAGGATTGCCGTGGCTTATAGGTAATAACCGTTAAACCGACCGTTAACTTAGCAGTTAACCGTTAGGGGTAAAACCGTGACCGTTTGAGCCCTACACACAATGCAACAAGCAGGTGCAGTGCGCACCCAGAATATATATTGATCGACTTGTGGCCGCATTTTTTGTTGTGTGAGCTGAAAAATACAAAATTGATGAAAAATGAGTACGGGATGCGCTATCAGAGTAAAGGGGGGGGGGGGGGAGTGAGTTAACAGTGCAATCACTAGCGAGCACCCACTGCCCATGCATGCTCACCATGCCGAAAAGCTGCGCAGCACTTTTACACCGGCACAAACACAGTGTACTGTAAATATACAAATTTTCGGCAGCTATTTAATTTCGGCTATATTCGGCACCGACCCAAAACGCCTAAATTAAAACGCCGATGAAATTTTTCACAGCATTCGTCGCAATACCATGCCCTCTACCCCACGCCGAAAATAAATCGCCGCCGAAATGTCAAAAATCGTGAAGTGCCGAAATTTTGCAGCGCCGAAATTTTGTATATTTACAGTACATACCAGATACTGCCAAACGCAAATTGTACTACAATGTGGGCACGTGAGACAGTAGTGATGTTCTGCTGTTATGTTCTGCTCTATGTTACGGGAACACGACTTGAAAAATCCCGGGAACGAGAATCCCGTAACGTAAAGGAAACTTGTTCTGCTCTACGTTCACACGAAAAATCACTTGGAACGTGTTGGGTATTGGGAATTTCCTGTTCAAAATTCGGCAGTTTTCTCACTGATTTGAATGATACGAAGCAGATCCGTACGCATTTTCTGTGTGTGTGTGTGTGTGTGTGTGTGTGTGTGTGTGTGTGTGTGTGTGTCACAACGTAGAGAAGCTCATCTCTGCGTAGAAAGCTGGACCCAAAACACGCGAAGACGTCGACTCTAACCCAGACACCTGTTCTCTGAGTGGTTTCTCTAGGTTTCACGTAAAGTAGAACCTATTTTCGGCCCAAAATTTGTTGCGGCCGAAATTTTGTTTTGCAAGGTTCACTGTGACAGTGTTCGTTCCTGTTAGGCAGCAGTAGCGTAAGCTGAAATTTAAATGTGGCAGAAATGTGTTTTAGTCCTGGGCATGGGAGACTGAAAGCTTAAATGCGCCGAAAATTTGTAGACTTTATATAATACAGGACTAACAACTGTTGTGGATCTGTGTCACAGCGTGTGTGTACATGACCAATGTGAACGTGATGTATCAACGCTCCATACAGCCCATACGACTCAAAGAGTGGCATCGCCAGAATATCTTTAGACTGATATACAAGCAACGGCTTCTGCATTCTCAACTGCGAGTCCTTGATTTTCAGAAAAGCTGTCAAGTGCCAGCCAATTACACGGAAAATATATAAACTGGCAGTAAAAAAACTGCATACTGCATGCGAAGACCAGTATACATATACTATATTATTATTATCAGTTTGAGCACTCTGGCAAGGTACGTTCGGGCCTGATTGGAAATTTTTATTTCCATTGCTATCAGGTTCGGCCTCATTTTCTCTGTGCTGCGCTGATGAGTTCAAAAAGAACGAAACAGCATGCTGTCCGCAGATTGAGTACTATATTATTATTATATAGTAGGTCTTTCAATACGATTACTTCCAAAAAATAAGCTGCAAGTCTCATTCATCATGATGACATGGTCATTGCATTGACAAAACAAAGTCATCATTCACTGGCAAGTTTTAGAGCGACACTGTACAGTGACAGCATATTGTACAGGAACTGAGGAAGAATAGAGGGTCCACTACTACTAACATTAGTACTAGAAATTCGGTTGTAGAGTACCGGTACATACCATGTACATGCTATGATGATTCGATTGTACTACGTTTAGTCTGTACTACGTGTAAGGAAGGTGTATTCCATATTTTTGCAATTTAGGACGCCAACACGATCGCGCGTGGGGCCGGGGCGGCGTAAACGGCCGCGAACTCTCTGCCCGTCGTGCAAATATGGGACAAGAATAGGCAAAAAGCACGATCCACCGGATCCGCGGATCAGATAAGACAGTCATGCAGCCACAGCAACAGCAAACAATTCGATTCAAAGGGCAAAGCTGCAGTAACCTCTGTGGATCCATAGCACTCGTCACAAACAAAGCGAAGACTGCATAAAGGGGACGAAATTGACAGACCAAAACGAGTTCGGGTGCTACACAAGATCCCTGCGAATGGCATTATGAATACAAACACGCATCGCAGCTATCGACTTTTGAACCTCGACACCGCACTGCATGGTAAAAAACTGTCACGAATTATTTTTTGGGTTTATATCAAGTATACCTTCTTAGAATACACTACTAAACAAGCAAGCAGGAGTAGGTAGGTCCTCACCACATCAACCATGAGCAGCAGCCTGAAGCCAAGAGATGAATCCTATCCAGCAGCAGCAGTAGAAGTCTCAGTACTCAGCTGCCTCACTGCCAATGTCAATGGAGAACATAAAACAAATATTTGGTAGCAGTGATTCGACACGCTCTTTCTAATCTTCAACAGGAATTTCTCGATGACTGACAGCCACTCGTCAAGCGCCGCACTGAGTTCTCCTCCACTGGTAGAAGTAAGTTGAACAACTAGTTACAATGAGTAACGACTCGCGGCACGTTCTCCAACAAAACGTCTTGAAAGCTAGCTTGCTACGTGTACTGCACACAGGTTTCTCTTCGACTCGGTGTAGTTTGGCTTCCTGTGTGCACGTCAAAATCGAGCTTCGCCCGGGCTTGGCCAGCCTAGCCTGTACACTTGTATGTCATCACCAGATCACCAGCGCGGTAGCGTACATCCATTGTGCGGCATGCAGCACACATGTACACAAAAAGCGTGCATGCCCGTGAGGCGTGACTTGACTCAGTCTTGACGTACTTGACTAGTACTGAGCTTTTTATGTACTCTCGGTTGTACGAGATCATAAAGACGCGTCGATGGCAAGAGACAAGATAGACCTACCACAGGCTGGCGTAGATCTACTCAGCTCGGATATGGTTGGTTGGTTGGTCATCATGGGATCAAGCAGGTCCATGTGTCGGTCGCCTTGCTGCCGCTGGTGCTCACCTAAGACTAAGCTCTGAGGCTGTGCCCACTCCGGTGCCCACTCCCTCCTCCTCAACATCATTCTACTCGACCATATTTTTGGCAAGGAGTTGGTGTTGATGAGTGTCTTACAAGCAGGGCTCTACAAGTACAACAATAGCCAGCAACATGCTTAGAGTCTACGGGGGCGAGCCAGGGACCTTCGCTTGAAGTAATTAGTTAGTTGAGGCCAGCCGAGCGAGGCTAGTCTAACCACTGAGCTATGGTGTAGGCGGTGTAGTAGCTATGGTGTAGCCATGGTAGCTGTCATCCCAGCAGAGACACGGTTCAACAGCACAACTCGTCGTATTAAATCAACAAAAGTACGAGTACGAGGGCCTAGGCTAGGGGGCACTCAATCAGAGTAGGGGGGGGGGGGGGCTGCTCCCCCTCCAGCTCCCCTCTTTTACCTAGAATCAGGGAATCGTGAAACCCAGGGCTTTTGCGACTGCCTGGCTAGAAGTAGAACCCGGCCTGATGGCAAGCCTCAAGTCACTGACTCAGGCCAGTACAGCAGCCTGCCAGGCTATTACTGGATAGACCTTGTTATACACACATGTTGTTCGTTTGACAGCATGAAACAAGGTGGAGGACACCGTGTGCGGAAATTCGGAAACAGTGACCTTGCTACAACGGTTGGTAGAGCCCAGGTCCGTTGGGACCATCTGAACCATAATTATGGGTGTTGAACCAGGTTCTGACCCTCATTATGCTAGGGGAGTTTTTTATAGACTTCTCCCAACGTCAGCAGATCTGTAGTAGTGTATTCTTTGATCGCTCCTGGATGTCGTCCTGATACTAGTGATAGTCATAATAATAGTACTTAGTAGCTGAATTGTTTTTCTTAGCTCTTTTTTTCCTTCCAACTTCTGCCCATGGCGTCCCTCTCTCAGCTCGTCAGCTGACAACAGTTAACTGTCCCCACCATGACACTGTCGTGAGAAGGTGCTCTCTGAAGGCGAGGTTGGTGATGTCCCGACGCGGCCATGGGTAGGCCTTCACCACGTCGGCTACACGTTGGTTACCCCCACTAGTACCGCTGGGAACTGACTTGTTTGTTGTTGATGTTGTCACGTAAACTACAAGTACTGTTCAACAAACTTGAATTTCTTCTACAAATCTGAACAACTACAACTACAAGTGCCTCAATTTAATCACACATTTTATGTTATTACATACATGTACAGTACATGCATGTACCTAAAACATTAAAACAAGCTGGAATTACATGTACGTCTTACCTCCGGTCTCAACTGGCATCAAATGGAGTTAATCCTTGGCTAAACGTACAGATAATTATCCAACTGCGGGAGATATTGTGTCTCTTCACAAAGAACTACTTAGCAGATATTTTTCTTGTCCTTTCCAAAGAACTACTTCAAGTACTTGGTAGGAATGAGCACAGAAAATTCTACACAGCTACTATTAAATTTTAAATAAGACTGGCCTCGGGAGTGAGGAACTACGTGACATGCGATTGAGGTAGTAACAATGCGTGGCAGAATTGTGGAAAATGTACAAGCGGGCTCAAAGAAGCAGCCTACCATAGACAGTGATTCACAAAAAGAAAATAGCAGCCACCTTGTTAACCGCGGGTGGGACGGCGAGTTCATTGGTGTGGAAAGACGCTTGAAAACGGTTTGTGGAGGGAGGATTGTAGTGTGAGAAGTATATGTATTTATGATGTGATTAATCTGAGTAAGTGCACAACCGGCTGAGGAGGGTGACTCCTTCTCTCCCTCTCTTGGGATATGTCTCTATCGAACCTAGTGGATGGGGGCTTCTTCAGACAGGAAGGAAGCCAATTTAGTTTAGCGACGTTCAATGTACGTGGTCTATCGTCGAAAGTCAAACGTGAAGCGCTCTGTCGTGATTTGGCCAAGTACAAAATTGATGTTTGTGCCGTGCAGGAAACTAAAATTTGTGAAACGAGGCAAGAGTATTGTGGTGGCTATGGTCTTTACACGCTGTCGCCAACCTGTCGTCATTATGGTCTGGCATTTGCAGTAAGAAGCAGCTTGGAGCCGAGAGTCGAGAGAGTTTGGAGCGTTTCTGACCGAGTCGCTGGAATTTCGTTACAATTGGGAAAAAAATCGACATTGAGTATCCTGAATGTGTATGCCCCGACGTCAGCTCGCTGCAGAGACAACAACTTTGAATTGGATGAATTCTACGATACCTTGACCAGAGCTATACATGACGTGGACTCGAGTTCCCTCTTCTTTGTTATTGGAGACTTCAACGCGAAAGCTGGAACGAAGCAGCAGGACGAATCATGTATTGGCAGCCATGGGCGTGGAATCAGAAACGTCAGCGGAGAGACGCTAGTGCAGTTCTGTGAAATTAACAGATTATTCTTATCAAACACAGCGTTCTGCCACTCTGCAAGGCACAGGACCACATGGACAGGACAGCGACTTGACAGAGCCAGTGGCAAGATTGTCAACATTTACAACCAAATTGATTATATTCTGTGCCGTCAATCGCAAAAGAGACTATTCACCAACGCCAGAAGTTACAATGGAACGGAAGTCACATCAGATCATAGGATTGTGGTGGCTCGCACGCTTTTACCTCGAGTATTCGGCATATGGGGTCGGGCGGCGCGGAGCAGCCAGAAGAAGGTGGATCGCCTAGCAGTGCATCGTTTACCCGGGAATCCACAACTGCAGAATCAGCTAACATTTGCCATCTCAGACAGAATTCAGAGGGTGTCAGAAGATCAGCCCAACGCCGGATGGGATGCAATAGCTGCAGAGATCTTCCACGCGGGCAAAGAGATTGTGGGTGTGACAGCCAAGACCAGTCATCGTCACCATGACCCAGAGATCGAGAGACTTTCCTGCATGCAGAGAGATGTCCGACTCCGTATTCAGGGCAGTGATGACCCAATCGAGCGAGAAATGTTGAGGACTGACCGGAATCGAATCCTGCATGATATCAGGAACAGATCCATCACAAACAGAGAAAATGAACTAATATCGCGAGCAGAGGAGATAGAGAGGCTCAAGGATGGAGCCCAGATGTTCCAAGCTGTACACTTGCTCCGGCGAAAGCCATCGCAGAAAGTCGTCGTTAAGGACAGCCAGGGCAAGATCATATGTAATGATAAGCAAGCAAGCTTGGAGATTAAGAATCATTTCTCATCGCAGCTCAGTGACTCTGCAATTCAGCAATTTGGATCCTTCACTGGGGAACCTCGACCGCTGCAGCATCCCGTTTCAACGGAGGAAGTGAAAACAGCACTAGCAAGACTCAACAACGGTAGAGCTGCAGGACCCGACAACATCCCGGGTGAGCTGTTGAAGTACTCAGCCGATGCCACTGCTCCCGTCATAAGCCGATGCATCAACAGCCTATTTCAGCGACACCGGGTAGAGCCATTCATCGGTCATGGCACACTAATACCTCTCCAGAAGCCCGGAAAGCCGGTGGGTGCTTTAACCAGTCTGCGACCGATCATCCTCCTGACAACTCTACGCAAAGTCATGTCGCTGGTAGTCCTCAAGCGCATCTCGCCAGCCGCAAACGATTTCCTATCACTGAACCAAAGTGGTTTTCGTGCAGGAAGGTCAACAGCTGATGTGGTCTGGTGCCATCGGTGGTTAGCAGCTACGACCCAGCGGTACCACTGGTCATTCAGCATACTGGGCATCGACATGTCACGTGCCTTTGACACGATCAGGCGAGGACAGTTGATGGACGTGGTTCAGCGATTCTTGGAAGAAGACGAGGTACGCTTGATCCGTTACCTGATCTCAGATACGAATTTGGCAGTCAGACTGGGCACGGAAACATCAAGCTCTTTCTCCACTAACATTGGTACCCCGCAAGGCGACTCCTTGTCGCCAATTCTATTCGTGATCTAGCTGGAAGCTGCCCTGCAGGATGTGCGACAGCGAATGGCTGCACCTGTGGCCCGGCATCTTCCGTACGATGTGGAGTACGCCGATGATGTGGACTTCATCAGTATCTCTAGTGATTGGCTTCGGATGTTAGAGCCACAAGTTGCCACCATCTTGGGTACATGGTCCCTTACCGTCAACCAGACCAAGACAGAATTTACAGCCATCCAGCGAGAGGCCGATCGTGCTGATGAGCCATGGCGTATGGTCAAGAAACTCGGCTCTCTCCTTGGTGATGCAGAGGATGTCACCCGCAGAAAGCAGCTTGCGGCGATAGCGTTTAAGTCCCTCTGCCAGTTATGGAAGAGAAGAGACCAAGTGAGTCTGGAGGTGCGCGTCCGGCTGTATAACTGCTTCGTGTTACCTGTCTTGCTTTACAACTGCTCCACATGGGGCATCACTCGACAGACAATTGAAGCGCTGGAATCGTATCATCGGCGGCAACTTCGGCATATCTTGGGTATCAGGTGGCCCAACCGACTTTCAAACGATTTGGTTTACGAGCGCTGCAGTGCTGCTCCACTTGGCAACATTCTGGTGAATGCAAGATGGCGGTTGTTTGGCCACATCCTGCGATCAGATGAGCACACACCGGCTAGGGAGGCCATGAGTGGATTCTTTGGCTGCTCCGTGCCGGGATACCGTGGGCGGCCGCGGATCACGCTACCAGTCCTGCTGAATCAAGACGCGGAGCGAGTCGGCTGCCGTCTGAGGACTCCAAGGGACTTGCAGCTGATGGCTCAGCGAGCACTGGATCGCCGTGAATGGACATATCTGTGCAACGCAGTTACAGATGCGTACAAGGCAGAGTACTGGTGAAGGAAGTTGGCACTGCAATGGTTTGAGCTACATTCTTTGTTGTTGGTACTCTGATTATCCGTATTATCCGTATTCACATGGCCTTTGCCATTCATTCAGTATATTAATGTCATCAATAATGATATTCTTGTTTGTATTAGTTTATGTGACACCATTTTCTATTTTTCTTTGCCTGCCTGCCTGCTGGTGGCCTTTTTTCGCATGGTTCGGTGCAAGCGAATTTGGGCGAGCCCATTGACGCGGGAGCACAAATAATAATAATAATAATAATAATAAGAAATATCGGCAATAAGAATCAAATGTCGTTTTTCAAACACCCACGCTATAACCGATACCTACTGTATACTGTGACACAAGATATGACACCATGGCCAACCAGGGCCAAACAGACAGAACAAGCTGCTACTAGAACAATTTCAAACAGCATTATTCGTTTGAAATTGTTCTAGTAGCAGCTTGTTCTGTTTGTTTGGCCCTGGTTGGCCATGGTGTCATATCTTGTGTCACAGTATACTAGGAGTCTTTACAAGTTCGTTAAGTGCTTTCGCAGTTTTTCCTGTTATTACCTTAGTGCTAGGATTATTATTTTCATAGGTGTTGTTTCTTCTCACTCCATTTCTCTTTATTAGTATCTTTCTGGATTGTTTTTCATTAGTACAACGTAGCTTCCTGAGGAGTGTTGTGCTAAAACTAGTTCGAAGTACGATTTTTTGTTCATCATTTTCTCCATATCACATTTTTTTAGGGCTCAAACGATTAGTCCGATTAACCGGTTGCAGACCGGTTACGAAGAATTAACGGTTAACCGATAAAGATAACGGTTACGCAGTAACTTTTCAGTCAATTTTTCAAGTATCAGGTCGTTGCAAAGTGTGCACTTTCGTGGGCTGTCGCACCCGTACGCAATTTCTGGGCTGTCAACTCGGTCATATCTGGTCTCTTGGTGTGAGAGTATGTATGAATGAGCATGCAAGAGAATGTACAAGTGTGCGTTGTACTGAACAGGGTACATTTTTTGAATGAGTATAGTCAAATATACGGTTAAAAAAGAGTCCGCAGGATTGCCGTGGCTTATAGGTTATAACCGGTTAACCGACCGTTAGCTTAGCAGTTAACTGTCAGGGGTAAAACCGTGACCGTTTGAGCCCTACATTTTTTCTTTCTTCCATGTTCTTCACTGCCTTCGTATCCACTCGTTTTTTGAATACAATAAAAGCCTTTGTGAAATGTCGGTTCAGCTCGTTCTGTTGATCGCAATTCTAAAACTATTGTTGCCTCGACGCCTATTTAAATAATAATAATAATAATAATAATAATTGGAAAGGATTGGGAGAACTTCAAATTCAAAGGATCAGTCGGGGAAGTGAACTGCCTGAAAAGAGAAAAAACGCCAGACCCACCAGGACTCGAACCTGGGAGCCTGCTTGTCATGAGCAATGCTCTAACCACTGAGCTATGGGACCAGGCTGAACCTAGAAGGCGCTGACAAGTTTTTCACTCCGAAGGCAGCTCACAACACGGCCACACATACTGATGGCACTTGGGTCTTTTTCCCTCCCCCAGGGGACCAACCACGGTCAGTTTCTGGAAACTATCAGAGGTGAAAGAAAGTGATTGAAATTGGAAAGGATTGGGAGAACTTCGTGCCACACATCATGGAACGGACGGCGGAGGGAGCAGTGAGTCGGAGAGCAGTGATGGGAGTGATGGTGAGAGTGTTAGTGTTGTGCGTAGGTTTCGTGGTAGCAAGTCTTCAGTGTACAATCATCTGCTAGCTAGTTCTGATTGTTGCAATTCGTATTCCGACTCTTCGTTCACTGTATTGTGCCGTGGTCGTCATGGTTATGGACTACAGTTAAAAGTGTTGGAAGCTATCTATCAGCGTCTGTATAAGCCTAATTTGTGTGTACAGAAATATAGTATATTTGGGTTGAAATTGTTCAAGTAACGTGTCGTGTTTGGTGCGACTAAGCTTGGCCATTAATGTTCTAGGTGAAATGTACTGCTGTTATGTGTTATCACTTTGTCCTTCCTTCTTTCTTTCTCTTGTTTGTTCATTTTTCCATTTGCAATTTTATTGTTAGCACACGCATTCATGATTGCTCTCGCTTTGATTGTTTTCACCATTGTAAATTTCACTGCTGTTGTTCTTAGTGTTATTTCTCTAACTTAGATGATTCCTGATGAGTGTTGTACGAAAACTTGTTTGAATCCATATTTTTCTCTACACCATTTCTTCATATTTTCATCGATTAATTGCACATCGTCTCCACCGTTTTTACATTACATGAATAAAGTACACAAATGTCGGTTCAGCTAATTTTATTGATTGCGGTTATCAAATTATTTTCTCCTCGCTGTTTGTTTAATTAAATAAATAATAATAATAATAATTAGTGCAATTAAGAGTATAATAGATGCAGACATGGCCAGACAACAACGAGTTCATGGAATTTTTAAGGATCTTATGTTATTCAAAATCGATTTTCGTGTTCCGCTCATCAGTGAATAGTATCGGAACTGAGGGTACGGTGTACAAAAAGAACATTTTATAAAAGCATAATTAAAAGTGTGACAAAAAAAGGAAGTGCTACAGCATTACATAATAGGTGTCAAACATAGTGCTAACATGTATAACTGAGTTCACAGTACCCTCAGTTCCGATACTATTCACTGATGAGCGGAACACGAAAATCGATTTTGAATAACATAAAATCCTTTAAAAAAAATTCCATGAACTCGTTGTTGTCTGGCCATGTCTGCATCTATTATACTCTTAATTGCACTAATAAAATTGCTTTCTCCACGCCGACTCTTTAAATAATAATAATAATAATAATAATACAACCCGGCGTCTTTGCCAGCTAAAAAGAGGCGAGTGATGGATACTACACGTCCATGAGGTCGGCCAAATGCCAGTGAGGCTCTGGAATCCATCTTGTCTTGCAGAGATGCAGGCACCTGACATACATGTATATAGTAGCAAACGCATGCACATACCTATATATGGTAGACCAACAGGACACCTGAACCCCAGAGGCCTCCCTAGCCCTCATACATGCCAACCGTCCAGGGTTTCCCGGGACAGTCCTGGGAATAGGGTGTTTGTCCCGGGACAGTCCAGGAAATTCCAGGGACTGAGATGGAACTTTTGAAATCGAAATTCTCCTTTTTATGACGCTTTTTCAGTGTTTCCTCGAACTTGTAGATCCGTTGTAAGTGCACACAGCATGTAGCACGTAGTAGACAACAAACCCCATGTGGAACTGCGACGGATCGTCGGTATAACGGTAGTCAACAGAAAGTTTACTTGTGCAGTTACAGCTCAATGCAATGACATCCCTTTTGATTGAGCAGCAGTCATGAAAAATACACTTGCTAATGATGGATGCGCTAAAAAAATTGGTGTCGAGGGAAACGGACCAAATCAAGGGAATTCAGCGTCATTGTCCAGGGAATTCAAGCCTCCAGGTTGGCATGTCTGGGGGCTATGTAGCACCAGGGAGGCCTCTGGGGTTCAGGTGTCCTCTTGGCCCAACCCAATGCACCTTAGAATAGATACAGTCGAATGGGCTTGCATATCTATATGTAACCATTCTAACTGTTCATATTGTGTTTGTGTGTGTGACTATGCACAGCTGAACTGGATGACATCATTCCAACATGCAATGTTAAACTCCGTCGACTGAGAATCTTCTTCTGCGGCAAGTTCGGTACTGGAAAGTCCACTCTGATTGGAGTTATTCTTGGCGACGAGTTCGAACAGAATAAAGACAGCACAGAAGGCGTAAACGTCAGGCGAACCCCTTGCTACTCTGCCAGCCAACGACAGTCGAGAAGATGTCGCACTGCCACCCGTGTTCAGTTGCATCCAAGTAAACGAATTTTCTGCACAGCTCATGACTGCAGCTATTCAGCAGCAGCGGCAGCAGCGGCAGCAGCAACTTGCCACACAGGAAGACATCAGTATCTCAGCTATCAAGAGCAGCAATGGCAGCAGTCATACTCATGATGGTGACTCTCACATGGACATGTCCCACAATCAGGAAGAGAGAACTAACAAGTTGCCATGGTCACCAGGCATTCTTGATGGCATTAATGACGATATCATGAAAGAACTGCAACAAATACGGACCGAAGAGGATCAAACCGAACGAACCAGTGTTGAGTTTTGGGACTGTGGTGGTCAGCTAGCAATGGCAACGCAACAGAGCATCTGCCTTGCTTCAGAGCGTGCAATGTTCGTGATCACGTTCGATGCCAGCAAAGACCTGCACGACAAAGTGGACACTGAAGTTTTCCGCTATGACAAAGGAAAGACTGTCTCCATTGAGCCATTGTTTCCCGGAATGACTCATGAAGATTTCCTGCTGATGTGGCTATCCACTGTGTCTTTGCGCATGCAGCAGAGTCCAGCCAGCACCAACCCAAACCCGGAGGCAGCAAAAACCACAAGCGTGAACACCGCACAGCAGTCAAGAACTGGCACGGATCTACGGAAGACAAAGCCAAAGGTGTTCCTCGTTGCAACCCACATGGATTTGGTCGACGATGTCGAGGAGAAAAAGAAGGAAATAATGAGGTTGTCGAAGGCATTCAAACGCGTTTGAATTCCGCTCACCTTGAACTGATTGGACCATACTTTGTAAGCAACAAACGACCCACAGATCCGGGGATGATCGAATTCCTCAAGAACTTGACTGAAGACATCCGCCTGCTTGAGCCTGACATGATTCCCCTCAACCAGATGAAGCTGGAGAAAGCAATTACCATGCTTCAAGTAGCAGCTACAGCAAAGCAGCTGCAAACACCAAGGCCAAGCCAAACGTCGCCGGATCTACGCATGCATGCAACCTTTGCAGAGTTCAAGGAGCTGGCAAAGTTCATGTCAAATGGGTCTATGTCAGACGAGGAGCTCCGTGCTGCTTTGTCTTACTATCACCACATTGGTGTTGTGATTTGCAGCGACTGGCAAGATCCTACTGATGAAAGTCTTGTCTTTCTCAACGTGAACTGGTTGCTACAGCTATTCGTGCAGCTGGTTGTCCTCTCCTATGATCGGTACAACAACAACCCTCGTCTCCTGGCTTATGCAGCAGAAATCAAGGCTCTGCGGAGAAAGGGACGGGTGTCAACTTCACTTCTGGCGGCAGTCTGGAAACTGGATCAATGCGTTCAACAGTCACTCATGGAAATCATGTGTCATTTTGGCCTAGCTTCTGAGATATTAGCCGTCGAGCCAACCGAGTATCTTCTTCCATTTTGCATCAGTGAGAGAGGTAGAGTGAAGACTCTTCCAGCCAATTTGCAGTACAGTCCACCTCTTCTGGTGATGAAGTTTTCATGTGCTTTCTTCCCACCGGCCGTCTTCAGTCGCATGGCAATCTACTGTGTTTCAAACCAGTCACGTGGGGCATCCGCGATCCTGTTGTTGAATACGCAGCTATCTCGTTCAAGTTTGGCCGTCAGCACCATGTCCGTATCTCCTGGTTTCCTATTGGACTGCAGGTGGAAGTGAAGTCATCGTCCAAATCAAAGGAGAAGGTGATTGACGCCACCCATCAGCTGCTGGACGTGATCAATGATTCCCTTAGCAGCCTGAAAGACCAGGGCTTTGTTGGTCTTGAGTGGACGCACTGCTTCCAATGCCAGCGCTGCATATCCAATGTCGTCGATGAAGCTGATGATGGCGGAGAATCTGGGCACAATAGTCGACCATCAACGCCTGGGCGGACCACAACCTCATCTTGTCAGTTACGGAGGGACATCGACTTTATCGAGCTCACTGGATACGAACTGCTGGACTATGCTGAAAGGAAAGTCAACGACACTGAGGAGTTGCATGAATGCAAACGCTGTAAGGAGCATACGTCATTGCCTTGTGACTACGTTCATTACTGGATCAGAAGCGATAGCAGCAGTTCCAGCCATGCCGCTGGCCATAGCAGCACCACCACCAGAAGCCACAGCAGCAGCAGCAGCAGCACACGCCACAGCAGCAACAGCAGACGCCACAGCAGCAGCAGACGCCACAGCAGCAGCAGCAGACGCCACAGCAGCAGCCGCCACAGCACCAGACGCCACAGCAGCAGGTGCCACAGCAGCAGCCACGGCAGCAGAAGCAGCAGAAGCAGCAAGTATAACAGCCGTGCTGCCGAGAGTGTGAGTACTGATGCGGTCGCCTGTGATTTATCAGAATTGGTACGTGTGGTTGTACACACTTTACTTTCTTAGAATGTGTGTATGCACATCCTTTATGCGGTACCTATACAATTCCGGGTAATTCTGCTTGCAATAAGTGCACAATCCAACCTATGAGTTGAAAAAATTAAAAGTTCAGTAAAGGCATGATTCTGTGCTGTACGCATGCCCACTAGCGTTGGACAGACAGTATACACATACTGCAATCTAGTGCAAAGCATCTCCATGGTGTCAGTATGACTCGGAAATAGGGTAGGACAAACTCGGAAACCTTTACTAGAACTTAAGCCGTGCTTCTGAACCCCCCCCCCCCCCCCTCCCTCACCTCAAGCCCAGCCATCTCACGTCTCACACCTCACACCCAGCCATCTCACACCTGAGGCTAACGGATACCTCCAGCGTGACGTGCACGGTGTTCGTACTTTCTACCAACGTATGACATCATGTTATGACTGAATTGCCATGGCAGGAGTGACTGTGGTTGTGCTGATGGGATGGGTATTGACAGTGTGAATGCAGGATGAATAGTTACACACAGACCACTGGTACGGACACTCATATCATCCAATCAATCAATGACACCATCACCCTGGATATGCTCTGTTTGCCACACATCGCTCACAGCTAGGTTAAGAACAAAGTAGTTTACATTTTAGCTCATTGTTTTCTTGTGTGTGTGTGTGTGTGTGTGTGTGTGTGTGTGTGTGTGCATGTGTGTGTGTGTGTGTGTGTGTGTGTGTGTGTATGTGTGCGTGCATGTGCATGTGTGCGTGTGTGTGTGCATGTGTGTGTGTGTGTGTGTGTGTGTGTGTGTGTGTGTGTGTGTGCGTGCGTGTGTGTGTGTGTTTGCTTTGTAGAGCCATGGTCGTGGTGGTGAAGCTAGGCCAGGAGGATCAGATGGTAAATGTAAGTATGTGTCTGCCGATTCCTCGAGTGCTCGCTCCGAAAAGCGTTTTAGAGATTTGCATCTTGATGCAGTTTGTGCTAGTAGACTCCCTCTCACATTCAGGGCGAGCAGAGGGGAAAACAACAGGGTGTTTATGCCTCACGTTTTATTTATTTATTTTATTCCAAGCAATACATGGCTGGGGTAGCCAATGACCACTTTGCGTGGCGATTGCAGAGTTTTTATAGCCAACCATGGCTAACATGACAGAAAAGAGTAAGAAGTGAAAAGAAAAGGAAAAGAAGAAAGAAGTGAAAAAGAAGAAAGAAGCAAATATTGATTCAATTGTGGTCTACTGGTAAAGCAAGGCGTTCCTGAATGCTGTTAAAGTAGAACGGCCCTTTGTCCCCTGGTGCCGCAAAAACCACTGCAAATAGCCATTGAAAAGGGGGGGGGGTGTAGCAATGCAGAAGAGCGGGCGGTCTGCATTGGTCGAAAGGCCCATTATTTGTGGGGCTAAACAATAGGGCCTGAGGAGATGGTGCCGTTTTTGGAACAGCTTGACAGCAAGGAATTGTCGAGCAATAGTCTCATCAGTGTGGTCCGTGGCCTTTCACTCAAAATATGTTTTGTGGAAACTCATAACTGACATGTTGAAGTTTGTTCACTTTGTTGTGAGACCAGAGTCGAGCCATCCCTTTGTGTTTTTTCTGTTGCTTTCCAATTGTTCAATTTTTCATTTCGAATTTTGATGTCATAGAGGTGACTCAGTTTCAGTTTCAGTTTTGTTTATTTACGGATTCTCCAGAGATAAATGGATACCTATCATGGGAGTCTCACCAAACCAATAAAATAATGAAAATTATGTATGGAGTGCAAAAACTCAAAATCTGAGATTTTTTAAGTCACAGGTGAGGAAGAACATCAATAGATTGAGAACCAGGGTGCTAATAGAACACTGGAAAGGCACTAAAAGATATGTAACTGCAGTAGCGGATATAGCCTATATTGTTCAACACGTGAAACTAGGTATGCCGGACACTGAGAAGCGGTAAACTTCATAAAGCTTCCTTATCTGGCGATTAAATAGCGTGGGGACTATCGAGTGAACGTATATCAGCAGGAAGTTTGTTCCAAGCAACGGCGATAAGGAGAAGGAAGGATTTAGCGAAGTAACTGGCAGTTGGTGGAAGGACAAGCAGGGGTGTAGGAGGGGTTTTGGAAGTGGTATGTAACGGAATCTCAGCCATTCCGTTCCCCGGGACGCAGGACACAAAGGACAAGACTGGTTTGTTACATTATTTATATTGACCAGACGGAAAAGCAAACTGCTCTGACAGAGACGAAGAAGAAGACTGGCAAAAGGACTCTCGACTACAAAATCGCGCATACTCATATCACACATGCACGCGACTAGACGAGACAGTTTGGGGAATGCCATCACACAGGAAAACAACACAATCATTTCACAACACCTGCCCCCTTGATGACATTCCACAAAATAATAAACCGACACCACGTTCCACATGCACAACAGCAAAAGGAACCACAGCAGAACAGAAAAACGAAAACCAACCATCAACCTAGAGCCGACGCTCTAAAATAAAATCCGGCCACGACACAGTGCCAAACAAAAACCTAGAGCCGACGCTCTACAACCAGGCCACGCCACACAAGGCCAACCAAAACTTGGAAGCCGAAGCTCCAACAAAATTATAACATGCGCACAGGCACCAAATAAATCTACAACTAAAATAATGGAGAACAACAGAACGAATAGAAGAGCAACAGACCGACAAAAACCAAACTGAAACCACACAGCAACAAGCAACGAACTGAACAGAGAGAGAACAACACAGCGAGCAAGACAACAAGAAGAACAACAAGGACGACACACTGTCGGTGATGCCAGACTCGTCCACTGTCCTCTGGTGAGCCACGGCCACACGCTCCGTCGCGGTTCCTACCGTCTCAGGCTCCAGTCCACAGTTCTAGTCCACCACCTTCTCTGCCTCCTCTCCGCGTCAACTTCCGCTCCCACCAGCTCTCCCCTCCTCCGCTCCCACGCTCTGTTTACTTCAAAGTAACATTTACTTCGTTGTTGACGACGACGAACAGACTCATGACAAACTTACTCATCCTCTGCGTCCCGGGTTTCGGCACCACGTTGTAACGGAATCTCAGCCATTCCGTTCCCCGGGACGCAGGACACAAAGGACAAGACTGGTTTGTTACATTATTTATATTGACCAGACGGAAAAGCAAACTGCTCTGACAGAGACGAACAAGAAGACTGACAAAAGGACTCTCGACTACAAAATCGCGCATGCTCATATCACACATGCACACGACTAGACGAGACAGTTTGGGGAATGCCATCACACAGGAAAACAACACAATCATTTTACAACAGGTACAACCGAAGGTCGGCGCGGCCAAAGGCTGTGTTGGAAGGGGTTCCGGGGGACCTCCCCACGGAAAATTTTGTAGAAAGGACACAAAATCCTGCATTCTGGGACTGCTCAATTCAGTGTGCAGTCGAGTCGAGTGCAGTACGACTGCAGATGAATGGCAGATCTACGAGTACAAGTCTAGAAAAAGGTCAAAGTCTGATGCGCATATGCATCGATGGATCCTGATTTTTTTTTTATTACGGTTTTGCTGTGACTTTGGCCGCACCTGCTGCACCAGTCCCGATGCCCCTGCAAGCGGTCCGTCGTATCGCTGCGGGGCCCGGCGAGTCAGTTGTAAACCTTTTCACTGCACAGGCTTGTGCTCATCAGAAGCGGGCGCTCGCAAGTCTGTAAAGCTGCATGATGGATCAAGTCCAGGACAGGCCTGTTCCTAGTGTCGGATGGTTCTACTGAAGCAGCGTTAAGCCCAACACTGCTTTTGCACGGCTTGTCAATAGCTTCAGACTTAGGAACGGAATGTATGGAGTTGTGGTCACATCTTGGTCATGTGACTGAATTTGTGCAGAAAGTGATCATGTCATGTGACCAGCGGAACCAACATGGCCGACGTCATGTGACCCATAGATGCAGGAGTTGAACCCAACATGCCTATCCCGTACGGTCATGTGATAGATGTGAAACCATTCTGATTTCTGTTTCTCTATGTGTGTGTTGTGCCAACATTTTCAGACGAGTCTCAGCTCTCTGACATGACAGCATGGGAGAGTGACGTCTTCACAGAACTTCGGCCTAAGCTGGGTTCCACGCTAACTCCAGATGATATGCGTCGCCAGTGTGAGGCTAAGAAGTTGATTACGCCTGCACAGAGTAAGCTATTTGCATCATACATTGGCCCTGCAGCGCAGAATGAGGCATTGCTCAATGCACTAAGCACTGGTGATGACGAATCCTTCTACACCTTCCTTGAATGCATCCGTAAAGTCGAGCCACCAGCCAGCGCGAGAAGGTTATTGGCCAAGCTAGAACTCGTCGACAAGTTCGGGGCAGACCGGCAGCACAGATGAGGCCGCATTTGCGTCTGCAGGAGCATCTGCTGCTGATCCAGTGGGTAAGTAAAGAGCAGTAGGCTGTACAGGCAGAGGCCAATTGGGACTTTTGCAGCTCCATAGTTCTTTTTCCGTAGTTTTGGCAGCCAAGCTGGCATCAGGCCGGTCTGAAGGCTTGCAGTAGCTAGCTAGCAAGCAGAAGGACTAGAAGGAGTAGTGCGATAGGGGTAGGGCAGTGTAGTGCGATAGGGGTAGGGCAGTGTAGTGCGATAGGGGTAGGGCAGTATAGTGCGATTGGGGTAGGGCAGTGTAGTGCGATAGGGGTAGGGCAGTGTAGGGGGTAAGGCAGTGTAGTGCGATAGGGGTAGGGCAGTGTAGGGGGTAAGGCAGTGTAGTGCGATAGGGGTAGGGCAGTGTAGTGCGATAGGGGTAGGGCAGTGTAGTACGATTGGGGTAGGGCAGTGTAGTGCGATAGAGGTAGAGCAGTGTAGTGCGATAGGGGTAGGGCAGTGTAGTGCGATAGGGGTAGGGCAGTGTAGTGCGATAGGGGTAGGGCAGTGTAGTGCCATAGGGATAGGGCAGTGTAGTGCGATAGGGGTAGTGCAGTGTAGTGCGATAGGGGTAGGGCAGTGTAGTGCGATAGGGGAAGGGCAGTGTAGTGCGATAGGGGTAGGGCAGTGTAGTGCGATAGGGGTAGGGCAGTGTAGTGCGATAGGGGAAGGGCAGTGTAGTGCGATAGAGGTAGGGCAGTGTAGTGCGATAGGGGTAGGGCAGTGTAGTGCGATAGGGGTAGGGCAGTGTAGTGCGATAGGGGTAGGGCAGTGTAGTGCGATAGGGGAAGGGCAGTGTAGTGCGATAGGGGTAGGGCAGTGTAGTGCGATAGGGGAAGGGCAGTGTAGTGCGATAGAGGTAGGGCAGTGTAGTGCGGTAGGGGTAGGGCAGTGTAGTGCCATAGGGCAAGGGCAGTGTAGTGCGATAGGGGTAGGGCAGTGTAGTGCGATAGGGGTAGGGCAGTGTAGTGCGATAGGGGTAGGGCAGTGTAGTGCGATAGGGGTAGAGCAGTGTAGTGCGATAGGGGTAGGGCAGTGTAGTGCGATAGGGGAAGGGCAGTGTAGTGCGATAGAGGTAGGGCAGTGTAGTGCGATAGGGGTAGGGCAGTGTAGTGCCATAGGGGTAGGGCAGTGTAGTGCGATAGGGGTAGGGCAGTGTAGTGCGATAGGGGTAGGGCAGTGTAGTGCGATAGGGGTAGGGCAGTGTAGTGCGATAGGGGTAGGGCAGTGTAGTGCGATATGGGTAGGGCAGTGTAGTGCGATATGGGTAGGGCAGTGTAGTGCGATAGGGGTAGGGCAGTGTAGTGCGATAAGGGTAGGGCAGTGTAGTGCGATTGGGGTAGGGCAGTGTAGTGCGATTGGGGTAGGGCAGTGTAGTGCGATAGGGGTAGGGCGGTGTAGTGCAATATGGGTAGGGCAGTGTAGTGCGATAGGGGTAGGGCAGTGTAGTGCAATAGGGGTAGCGCAGTGTAGTGCGATAGGGGAGGGCAGTGTAGTGCGATAGGGGTAGGGCAGTGTAGTGCGATAGGGGTAGGGCAGTGTAGTGCGATAGGGGTAGGGCAGTGTAGTGCGATATGGGTAGGGCAGTGTAGTGCCATAGGGATAGGGCAGTGTAGTGCGATAGGGGTAGGGCAGTGTAGTGCGATAGGGGTAGGGCAGTGTAGTGCGATAGGGGTAGGGCAGTGTAGTGCGATAGGGGTAGGGCAGTGTAGTGCGATAGGGGTAGGGCAGTGTAGTGCGATAGGGGTAGGGCAGTGTAGTGCGATAGGGGTAGGGCAGTGTAGTGCGATAGGGGTAGGGCAGTGTAGTGCGATAGGGGTAGGGCAGTGTAGTGCGATAGGGGTAGGGCAGTGTAGTGCGATAGGGGTAGCGCAGTGTAGTGCGATAGGGGAGGGCAGTGTAGTGCGATAGGGGTAGGGCAGTGTAGTGCGATAGGGGTAGGGCAGTGTAGTGCGATAGGGGTAGGGCAGTGTAGTGCGATAGGGGTAGGGCAGTGTAGTACGATTGGGGTGGTGCAGTGTAGTGCGATAGGAATAGGGCAGTGTAGTGCGATAGAGGTAGAGCAGTGTAGTACGATTGGGGTAGGGCAGTGTAGTGCGATAGGGGTAGGGCAGTGTAGTGCGATAGGGGTAGGGCAGTGTAGTGCGATAGGGGTAGAGCAGTGTAGTGCGATATGGGTAGGGCAGTGTAGTGCCATAGGGCAAGGGCAGTGTAGTGCGATAGGGGTAGGGCAGTGTAGTGCGATAGGGGTAGGGCAGTGTAGTGCGATAGGGGTATAGCAGTGTAGTGCGATAGGGGAAGGGCAGTGTAGTACGATTGGGGTAGGGCAGTGTAGTGCGATAGGATTAGGGCAGTGTAGTGCGATAGAGGTAGGGCAGTGTAGTACGATTGGGGTAGGGCAGTGTAGTGCGATAGGGG